GAGATTCAAGAGTCAGGCCAGAGCCTGGGGCTGTGGTTTCTCCTTTGTCCATGAAGCACTGTGTCTCCCTCGCTGCATGGTGTCCTTGAGGCCTTTGTTCCCCAGGGGCTTGGGCAGGTGCACCATGGCCATGGTGTTCTGCCGAGGTGGGCACCTGGGTGATTTAGTGGCCCATCAAGCGGATTCAGGTTGTTTATTGGAAATGCTCATTATTTATGATAGCTCATGGCCCTGAAAGCACAGGCACAGGCTGCTTTTAGGGATAAAACTAATAAATAATAGCCTGACCATGATTTATCAGCGTGGAGGAAGGGAGATGCTCATTTCCACTTGCAGCAAATAGGTCTGAATGCAGCAGATTCCCCCTTCAGAGGATGCAGAGGAAATTCCTGCAGGGACGGGATCCGAGCACAGACAGTTCAAAGGGGGATTATAAAAGGAAATTAAAGACACGTGCCATCCCATTCCTCAGCCTCCCCCACTTCTGGACAGATTTGCAAGATACATTTTTGAAATTGTCTGACCTTAAGACCTGATTATTTATTTTTAGATGATGTTGGTTTTAATTTTCTCACTCCCCAAAAATATTTAAGAGAGATGAGTTGTGGTTACTTTTGAATCAAATGCCTTGGGTGCACTGAGCAGAGGTTCAACTTCCTATCGATGATAAGGAAAAAATATACTGTTAAAAAGGGCTTTCCTTCCTTCCTTTTTTCTCTTTCCTCTTACCTTCTGTCCTTTCTTCCTTCCCCTTCCTCCTTTTCCCTCCTTTCCTCCTCTCCTTCCCCTCTTTCTCCTGTTCTTCCTTCTCCTTCCCTTCTGTTATCTCTGTCCACCGCTCCCTCCTGTGTCTCTCATTTGTATCCGAGATGCGAATGTTTGTGGTGCCCCTGTGCCTGTTTGTGGTGCCCCTGTGCCTCGGGTTGAGGTGGGGCCCTGCTTTAGCATACCTCCCAAAGGGAAGTTCAGGATTTTCTGTGACTCTTTACTGGGGAAGCAAACAAGGTTGCTTCACTGCAAACCCCATAGCAGAAGTGAATGGAAATATTCACTGGGTGTCTCTGCCCCATTTCTTCTCGGCCCAGCTCCCTCCTCTCCCTCTCTGCCCTTCTGGTCCACCTCACAAAGCCTCTGGCATCTCCTGGTCCTACACTGATGTCCAGTACCCTCTTTCTTGTCACATGTAGGTAGTTGCACTTTCTCTGCTGCTTGTCTCTTGTCTCTTTACAGCTGTCATTCTGCTCAATAGAGAAAGACAACACCTTAGGAATGTGACCAATTTTCTCACTCTTCCAAATAATTTTTCCCGTCATTCATTCATTCAGTGAGCGTGCCTGGGAGGGTGCATCTGGTAACAGCTGTGACACCCCCCCCATGTTCCTGTCTGAGCTTGCTTATCATAAAGCCGAAGTTGTGTGTGTCAGGAGTGGGAGAAAGTGACAGGGTTATAAGTTCACTCTTAGGGATCTTAAGCTGAAAGTGACCCTGGACATCAGTGGCAGACATGTCCACCCAGGCCTTAGAACTGCTTCCTTCCGGCAAAGGCAATAAGAATCAGGCTGAAGAGGGAAACAGTCTTCAGTCCAGCGAGGACCTGACATGCATAAATCAGGTTTGTAGCAGAGAGAAGGGGGCCTCACAGATTAGGGATCAAGAGCTGTTGCTCACACATGTGGACCAAAGAAGAGATGTTCGCAATGGCAATGTTAACTGTGCATGGTGAGTGTCGGTCATTATTCAGATTTGGTAAAACAATGTGACAGTACTCGGACCTTTCCTCTCTGGGGCTGTGCCCTTCCTCACATCAGGAAGGGGGAACACAGCAAAACTGCTTGCCGGCTGAGGGAGCGGCAATGGTATCTTCAGATTCCAGAGCAAGCAGTGTCAGTGCCAGAGTAGCACTGCAGGGTGTGCACTCTCCCATTTTCAGAGCCCCTCCCAGCCCGTAGCCTGGCCTTTTTCCTGTCCTGTGCTGTGTTTGGACCACACTGTGCTGCTGAGGTTCCTGCAGTTGCTCCGCCGTGGTCCTCTGCTAATAGTGTGCTTTCCCACTGCATCTCCAGTGGGAAGGTTCCTCTGTTTTACTATTATGGGTTTTTCTTAGGACTCCAGAAGAGAATTAGCTTCTCTGTTTTGGAGGATGTGCTGTTTAGGGAGTTTGGGGTAAATTCCCAGTGGGCCCTGTGAAAGGGAGGAGTGTCACACTCACACACTTTACCCCATGAGCCATGGACCACAGGCCCCACCTACAGGGGCCTGGCCCTGACTGCCCTCAGTGACTCTTGGCCTGCTCAGAAATGCTGCCCCTGCTTTCTGGGGCCTTTGTCTTTGTTCAGGAAAATGCAGCCAACATCTCAGGTCTTGCCACCCAAGGTCCCACCCGCCATCGTGAGGTAGAACGTGCCCGGCTGTCAAGCATAGGCCGTAGAAAGGCTGTACACTCTCTGGGCAAGTCCTTGCTCCTGCTGCCATTTGTCCAGATGATTGGAAGGCAGTGTTGTGTTGGTGACTCACAGATGGGGAATTCCTCCTTTCGGAGGGGCTCCTCTGTTCCAGGGAGGAGAATTTCCCCAGGTGGCGAGGAAAGAGAGACAGAGTAGAAAACTTCATAGCCTATGTTGAGACCAAGGCTTGGGGTGGTCACCTTCACTTCCAAATGTAGCTCCCGGGCCACAGTTCCTGCCCTTACTTAGTGTTCTAGGGGAGGGGAGGAGCCTGATGTGCATCCTGGCAATATCTGCCTCACAGACTCACCCAAGGCTTAGATTAGTTCCTGCAGTGATTTAACAATGAAGGACCTCCACTTGCTCACCTGTCGGTGGACCTTCTGGGGTATGATCCTCACAGTTCTGCACACGGTTCCCGGTAGGACAGAGCCCATTGCCTCAAGTACAGTACTGACCTGTTCATGAGTACATGTGTGTCTTCCCTCACGTCTCTGTCTCATCATCCATTTCCTCCACAAGTGCATCAGTCACTTTCCTATCACTGGATCACGTTGCTTGATACCCACATCTTGAGGAGAGGTATATCTCAGCTCACAGTTTCAGAGGATTCAGCCCATGGTTATCTGACTCAGAAGCAGAAACAGCATAGTGGAGGGAGGGGCATGGCAGAAGAAAGCTGCTCAACCCACGGGAGCCAAGAAGAGGGGAGAGGGAGCTGGGGAGAGGAAGAGGAAGAGGGAGGAGAGGGGGAGGTGTCCCTCAGGAACACACCTCTTCCCACCAGGGCCCACCACCTAACAGCACATTCAGCTGTGAACTCATCAATAGATTCATTCACTAATAAATATACCCCTGTGTTCTACTTACCTTCCAAAAGCCCCACTTCCAAACATTCGAGATGGTGTGCGGACATTTTAGGCGTAAACCATAGCATCAAGCTTCCATAGAGAGCCTCCCATATAAACGATCTACTACCAAGTCTTCGATTCATGGGGATCCAAACAAGTGTACACAGGCAATCAGTGATCGCTATATTATGATTAATTTTCAAAGGGCATGGCGAAGATAATTAACAGAGAGATACAAATACTATAAAAGGAAAAACAAATTACTGCCAGCTGACTGCATCTAAGAAAGCTTCTAGAAGGAGATTATGGGCAACATTTAGTTTGGATGGTAAAAGTGTAAAAGATTTGTCCCCAAGAATGAGGGCATCCTGGGGGACAGAAAAGGTCTTGTATGCATTTCCTGAAAGGTTCCCACACAATCCATGTGCGCATCGGGTGGGCAGATAAGTCAGGCGGGCCCATACTCTAGTCCCAACTGGACACCAGCTTCCTGGCTGGCATGGCCCTGCATGGTGGCCCTGTGCCCGGAGTGCTTTCAGGTGGTATTGATCAGTCCCCATGGTATAGCACAGTGCTTTCCCTCTGCCCCTCAACAGCATGGCCTTTTACGATGAATGTCTTCATGTTTGTGCCTGGTACTAGTTTGTGTGTTAAAATTCTAACCTCCATTAAGCACTGGGCCTTTGAGAAGTGACCAGGTCCTGAGGGCAGAGCTTTCCTTAGTGAGGGTAGAGACCTTATGAGAAAAAGGCCACAAAGAGACACTTACTCTACCACATGAGCAATGAGGTGCATCTGTGAGCCAGGAAGCGGCCTTCCCTATACCCAAATCTGCCTTCAACTTGACTACCAAGCCTCCAGAATTGTGAGACACAGATTTCTGCTTCCTGCAAATGACTCACTTTATGAAATTTTGCTGCATCAGCCCAAGTAGACAAATTCCCTGACACTTCTTTACCACACTCTTTGTCATGGGGCCCATGGGGCTTCCATCAGGTGTCCATTGTAGCCTCCCAGGTGTCCCAAGTCTTCTGAAGACACCTGTGAGAGTTCTGCTCAGTGCTTCTTAGGGTCCTTCTAGGGCCATCAGCTGACCCACTTTTGGGTCTGTGACATGCTGGGGCTGTGGCCTGAGAGCCAGAGACATGCAGCTCAGGTTGTCTCACTTATCTGATGGGCCTTTGTCCTTGGAGTGAGGTGTCTCACCCCATCCCAGGGACACACAGATGGGTATTTTACCACTACAAATGAAAGAGGCAAGAAACAGCAACATGATGCCTTCTCAACTCTAGTTCAGTGTTTGATGAGTCTTTGACGTGAAGGACCTTTGTTCCATTAAACTCTTACGGGAACAGAAAGTGTGCCGGTAAAGCCTGATGAAGTAAACTTGATGGAATAAGGGTGGTAGCAGGAAGCTCTGCTACTCTGGCCCTTCTTCAAAGCATGGTGGGAAACCACTGCTCTGGCCTTGGGAGGGAAGGAGAAGGAGAAGGATGAAGACCATGTCTACCCTTTGCCTCTGTAGCCTCTCTGTGGGTTATCTGGAAGACCATGTGGGGCTTCCCAGATGAATTTGGTTCTGACATGCCAGAGGAGCGGGCCTCTTGGTTTCTTCTCTGAAGGGGGAACTTTAGAGTTGAGGGCTTGTACTCAGGTCAGGACACTGGATTGCCTTGGGCTCATCAGCTTTGCTCTTGTCTTGCAGAGGTTCCAAAAACAGAACAGACTTTTGAAGAGCGCTTGATACTCAAAGCTTTCTTGCTAAAGTTTGTCAACGCCTACTCCCCCATCTTCTATGTGGCCTTTTTCAAGGGGAGGTGAGTATAGCAGTGGCCCAGGTGCAATTTGTCACTAAAATGGTCCTCTGACCCTGGGACCAGTAGGGCAGCTTGTCCCCACTGTTACCTCATTTCCTCAGTCCTGTTCGCCTCTTCTTGACTGGGATGAATTGGCTTCTACTTGACTGTTCTCTTTAGATCCTAGTAAGCAGGGAAACTGAGAATGAAACAGGAGGTAATTTCCTTTCTAGCCAGGGGTTCTCAAGGTTTGCAGTGTGATTCTGGCGCTAACTACCTGGAGTTACTACTGGTTTCGCAGAGTAAGAACACTGCTTCTCAAGACCACCCCTACTTCAGACAGCCACAATTCTGAGGTTCCCAGGGCAGTGGCAGTTCTTACCCACTGGTTATAAATTCCACGGTTCCCATCACCCCCTCAGGTTCAATAATATACTAGATTGACTCAAAAAATCCAGTGATGAGTTATGCTTACACTTACAGTTTTATGTTAGCAAAGAGATGCAAATCAAACCAGCACATGAGAGAAATACACAGGTGAGGCCTAGGAGGGTCTTAATCAACTTCCTGGCACATCTGTGAGTTTCACCAGCCATAGGTTCAGAAGCTTCAGTATCCAGGGTTTCTCCTGAGATTCCATTACCAGGCATAGCTGATCAAATAATTCACCCTGTGAGTTAGCATGCTCTAGCCTCCACCTCTCCTTCCCAAGTCAGACTGCTGTCACTTGGCCCAAGCCCAGCCGACATGGCTGGCTCCCTCATTGTGAGTAATCATTAGCATAAATTCAGGTACAGTCCCAGGAGCCCTCCATGAATAACAGAGATGCTGCCATCACTCTGGAAATGTCGAGGATTCAGGGGCTCCTCTGAGAATCCAGGACCAGAGTCCACAGCATTTTATTACATAATAAGTCTGAATATGAAATCACTTCTGGTAAATATTTTTGTGATCAGGCCAGTCGGCAACCTACAGTGACATTTTCTATTTGACACCATCCAGCTGTATCAAGCAGGCTTCCCTGGAGCTAAAAAAATCACCCAGCATGCCATGAAACCTAACATTGCCAGTGTGTACATTTCACAGTTTCTTATAGATATGTTTGTGATCCAAAGCATGGCCCCCTTCCCAAGACATCTGTCCTCGGCTCCCATGAAATTTAAGCAGCAGAGAAACTGTCTGTATTAAGGACTATGTGCTTCACTGGTGCTTTCTTTAGCAATTTAATAGCAATGACAAATTGCACACATAATATTTCAGACATGAAAGGGTCCCCACTCTTAGACAAACTGTGTTCTACAAAGGAGATACACTTGGCCACAGCACTGCTATAGTCCGTGAAGTGCTGTAGTGATTGGTCCTGAGAATTTGGGGTGCTGGGACAGCACTCAGTGCAGCACTTGCCTGACTAGCATACGTGAGGCTCTGTGCTCAAACCTTGGCACCATGACTAAAAGAGAATCTGTAGTATAGGGAGAACACTTAGTCATAAACAGAAACAACAGGAAGAGTTTAGAGAAGGAAAGACCTTCAGTGGGTGAGTAGACTTTCCACAGATGGGAGAGATGATGAGTTTTCAAGGAAGTGCAACTCTTCTGTTTACCTGTCTGGATCCGAGATGGTCTTTTACCTCTCTGACTCCCCCACCTGCACAGTCTCCTTAACCCCAGTAAAATCAATTTTATTTAGAAGAGGAATGGGGCATGCTTCTTCTGTTCCTTTGACTATGTTCAGTATGAAATCAGAATTCTTTTAGGATTCCAGGAATCTCTACTTACAATTTTAGTCAACCTCACCCTTAATATCCTGGGAAATCATGAGCTCTCACCAAAGAGTTGTGAAAAGTTCCTGACAGGAGTAGGAGGAAGAAAGCGCGTGGCCTACTCCCGTAGATAATCCAAGCCTCCTTGTGTTTAGGCTGGGAAGTTTCACACCGCCCCCCACACCACACCCCTCCCAGCAGAACACTGGGCTTCAGCTCCTGACTCTCTGTCTCCAGGAACTTGATGGGGTTAAAGTGTAGCCTGTTTGATGACAGGCTCTGAACATGGGCCTCTGCGTGATCTGTACCTCTCTGGCCGCACCAGTCCCTTTGGGGAGGACACTGGGGAAAGGCACTGCCCCCGGAAGCCTCGCCTCCTCTCAGCCCCGCCGGGCTCCACTTCTCTCTAACCCTCCCCGCGCTTTTGATTCCAGGTTTGTGGGCAGGCCCGGAAGCTACCTGTACGTGTTTGATGGCTACCGCATGGAAGAGGCAAGTACTGCTGGTGGGGTCCGGGCTCTGGCCTGCGTTTCCTAAGCGCAGCCTCACAAGCCCCCCCACCCCCCACCCCTCCGCGGGTCGCAGCACTACCCTGTCTCTGAGCCTCTGGGCATCCTCAGTCTGACTGGTCCTTCTCTACCTCTCGCCCCTGCAGTGTGCTCCGGGGGGCTGCCTCATGGAGCTCTGCATCCAGCTCAGCATCATCATGTTGGGGAAGCAGCTGATCCAGAACAACATCTTCGAGATTGGAGTCCCGTATGTAAAGCTCTGCTCCTGTCTCTTGGCTGCCGGCCGGCCCAGGCGTGCCAGGCATTTCGGCAAGCTTTTCATGGCCTCTCTCTTTTCACACAGCTGGGTTGCTTACTCTTTTGTTTCCTGGCTGATAACTTTCCCCAGGAGGCAGTGCCTGTCCCACTGACCTTGTTTGCCAGTCTGACCTGTGCTGTTTGTTGGTGGTTCAGAAGGATTTACCACTTGCTTAAACACATACAACCAGTAAGTAGCAGAGCTGGGACTTGAATACCTCAGACACCAAAGTGCATAATATATTTCCTGCTAGTTTTCCTCCCAGTAAGTGTAGAACACTCGGTATGGTGGAAAAATGGGTAAGAAAATTTGAAACATAATGGGATCATCTAGGGAAAGGTCTGAAAAGGCAGTGTGGAATACAAAATCTTAGGAAGGGAAGGATGAATGGTGGTTTTCCTGTGGATTCCCCCAGTGCTTTTATGCACATTTCATAGGACTTCTTTCAATCAGGTTTTGCACTGAAAAGTTAGGAAAATAAACACTGGCCCAGAGGTCCTAAAAGAAAAGAAGATGGAATGAGTTAAAATCTACCTACAGATCCAGAAAAATGTAACCTCCTCTGCTTTTCCTTTCTACTTTTTGTGATTTCCATGAAGAAGGACAGAGGCAATCAGGGTGAAATCTCTTGCATACCACTCGCAAGACTGACCCAAGGATGAGCTGCTGGACAGTCCCCACAAGGCTGACTGAAGATTTGATGACACACTATGTCCCCACTGGAGATGCTGTGTACTCCATGCTAGTGGTTCTGGGAAGGCCTGGGTCAGGAGATTTGATTAATCCCTTTCTTTCCAACTATGTTTGTTCATGTTATTACCCAGGCCTCCTTACTGAAGTCACTGGAATTCGCTCTGGCTAGTTTAAGCAGCAAAAGAAGGCTCCTGGAATATTTAGGAGTCAGAGAACCGTGCTCTGAACTGCCTGACCAGGAATAACACTGTCCGTGCTGCAAGGGCCTTGTAGGAAGGCCACTGTCTTTACCTCTTGGCCTTTATAACTCAGACACGCAGAGAAATCACATGAAATGGCCCTTGTCTTTCCAGACTTTGAATTTTTAGTTTGGGAAACAAGAGAGAGTATACATACCTAGGTACTCTCTATGCAACTCAAATTCCACTCAAAGTCAGAGGAAGTCAAGGTCAGGAGTTAGAGGCAGCCCATGAAGCCTTCAGAAACAGAAGGGCTTCTTCCAGGTTTTCTTGAAAGGAAGCCGCCATCATCCTATTACAAGATAGGTGCCAGTGTTTTCTTTAGAGAATCCATTTCCTCTGGGTATAAATATATTTTCTAAATACACAGCAGACTGACTCTAGTCTCATCACAAACACCTCATGATTGGGTAATGCTACAGAAGAGATAGCAAGTCTTGAATAGATGGCAGTTTTCTCACCAAGGCCTCACAATATGGCAGAGATACTGCAAAAGCAAGAGCTGGAATCCCTTTAAAGGTCATTGAGTCCTGCATCCCTTGGGCTGGAAGGAGCCGTGAAGAGGTATATGGCTAAACTTCTTCTATCGGAACCACCTTCTTTGAGGTAGGTCTCACTCTCAGGTCCCCTGATGAGGCTGCTCTTTGGTCTTCTTCAGAAACACATTTACAAAGATAAAGTTCTAATGGAGAGACTTTGGTATACAAGGGAAGTAAGCTCTCAAGTGAGAGCCCTACCTGAAGAAAGGAGAGTCCTGTGTCATCCCAGTCCTCTGGAGGGATCTTGCCACCATACACCACTAATTAGGTTGAATGCTCAGGGTACTTTCTGTCTACACACTGGGACAACCTCGGGTCACACTTAGGTGGATTGGTGGGGATATCATTTCATGTTCCTGCTTTACCAAGCCTTCAGCTGTCAGCCAGAAGTTCAAACTTTTGAAGCCTTTACATGTTTCCTGCTTTTTTGACTAAAGCCATTGAGTAATAGTCAAGCAAAGCTAGTGAAACAGATGGTTCTTGTTTTTTGGGAGCTTAGCATCTTGGAGAGACAGAGGCAGCATTTCTTATGGTCCAACATCCAGATATACACAGATGATACCAAAGCCACATCTGGCCCCTTTCAAGCTCTGCGAGCAGCCCCTCTACCACTGCTGCAAGAGTCTTCCCTCCCCTTGCGCATCTGGGGAAGGCACCTTCCCTTCTATTGCATCACTGCTCTCCTCTGGATAGAGTTTTAGACAATTTGTGGGCACAAGATGCCCATTTTTTCATCCCTGGACATCTGCTTTACTGCTCAGCCCATTTCTTTGGGTCTAGAAGTCTTTCGCAGAGTGGGACAGAGGCAAAACCTCAGGCACATTTGGACAGTTTGTTGTCGTGTCCTCCATCCATCAACTCCATCAGCTCCACGGCAGATGAAAATAATACACGGTGGTTTGCCTTGAAGGTCAAATTTTCTTGTTTATGCTTGATGTACGTTTAATACTTTGTGTGTTTAAAAGCATGCTACACTCTAATCAGTGGTAATTGCACGGTAATTCACATAGTCTTCTCTCCACATCTCTTGATAAACACAGTGGCAATATAAGCATCTCTGAGATGCTTTGTGGACCCAGCCCCCCAGGAAACTTCTTTGCTAAGTGAGGCTGGTTCCTGCTGACTCCAAATACAAGCCACAGTTTTACAGTGCTTCCTCATTTCTGTGTCCAGTCTGGAAAGTACTCACACGATGTAATTACCCAGGTGACTCCAGAGGAGGGGAACAAAGACTGAGCCACTGAGTCGAAGTTCTCCGTGAACCTGCATGTTGCATTTGAGCCTGCTCACAGGAAATCATTGTGTTTATGATTAGATCTTCTGCTATCAACTCTGGGCACACTCTCACTTAGATCCGTCCAGTCCAGGATTCAAGCACCTGCTCTTATCTTTTTGGCAACAGTTAGAAAACACAAAGTAAACATTTTTAGAAAGAGTCTGAGTTAAAGTAAAAAAAAATTAAGCGCAACAATGATGAAGAAGTCATGTAAATTATAGAAGTTATACCTAGTAGTCATTAAGAGATCTCTGAAGGGCAGGAGTTTAGTGATCAGAAGAATCTGGCTTTAAACATGGGCTGTGCAGTTACTCACTGTGTGACATCAGAAATCTATTCTGGAAAGATTTGCATGTAACATGGTTATGTAAAGAAAACAGCTGGGGAAAATGCTCAGCTATCCAAAGAATATAGACATCAGAAAAAGGAAGAGCCGTTCATGGGGGTTCCAGGTTGTGAACAATGTGCTGTATGTGTGGGAGATGACATTTATAGATGGTGTTTTGTGAATGTTTCAGGTTCAGAGTGTGAGACTGAAGACCCAACTCAGGAACACTCTTTGGCTCTGGGTCCAGCGGCTTTTGGTTTATAATTAACTCTAGGGCCTTCAGAATAGAAGGGAGAGAAATGCTAACCAGACAGGTTAGATTTGGTTTTCTTTAGTTTGACGTTTAGAAGCAAGCTGGGAGGTAATCCCAGTGCTGGAGAAACTGAGACAGGAAGATCACAAGTTTGAGGCCATCCCAGGATATTTGTTGAGACTGTATCAAAACAAAACAAACAAAAAAAGCCAAGCATGGTGACCCCATGACTGTAATCCTAACACTTGGGAGGCTGAGGCAGGAGGATCGCTGTGAGTTTGAGAACAGCCTGGGCTACAAAGTGAGTTCCAGGTCAGTCTGAACTACATAGTGAGACCCTATCTCAAAAAACAAACAAACAAAACAAAAAGTAAAAGGGCTGAGGATGTAGTTCAGTGATAGATGCCCCTTAGTTCGATCCCCAGTACCATAAAGAAAAAACAGTTGAAACAAAGCAAGTCTGAGCAATTAAGTAAATTTTTGTGCTCAGTAATACTTAGTGGTCAAAAACCATGATAACAATATAGTTATAAGATAATTCACTTTTAGTTCATTGCCTCCTTCTGAAATCAGTTCTCTAAGACTCTTATAACATTTTTTAAATGTTGAAGTCTGCCTAATTGACCTTTATCAACTGTCAGGAAGTCAACTAAAATTACCTCTTTCTTCGAGGATGCAGCATTCCCATCAGATGTGCGTGCATGTGTGTGTGTTACAAAAAGAATAATTTTATGCCTTGAGAATTGTACAGTTCAGCAGGCTTCTTGAATTAGAATATTTTTTCCCAATCTTTAGTTGTTTGTAAACCAACTTTAAAGATTTACTGTGTCTACCCAAACAGCTCTTTGTATTTTAGTTTTTTCTAAACCAACATACCTTTCATTTTAATCTATAACATTTCTGAAAATGAAAAGTGAACACTACCCATTACTATGAACAGCAAATAACAGTAGGAAAAAAGAAGACAATAAAACCAAAATCTGTGGCATTATTTCCCACCAAGCCACTCACCAAGTTGGGCACTCTGTTTGTGAAAAGTAAGCCACAGCGTCCCTGGGGTGGTGTTAAAGGTAGGCTGGTAGCAGACTGGAGTCCAACCTTGTCTGTACTCAGGCTGAACGTGAGCAGGACAGGAAATGCCTTTGTCCCCAGACACTCCAATGGGATGTAAGGTACAGTCTTCCCCAAGGCATCCCAGGAGCTGCACCCCTACATCTGGCAGGTGGCCCAGACAGGGCCACCAGGAGGCCCTGCTGTCTGTCCTCCCTCGCCAGGCAGCAGGACCCTATCTCTCCACTGGATCTCATTTGGAGACACTGGGGATGGAGAAATGGGATGCTTTGAAGGGCAGCACTAAAACGAAGCCCTTTAAAGCCAGCTCTGTGACTAATGTTAGGATAACAGATAAAACTTGATCGCATGGTCTGGACCCACACCATCCTCACTCATGCCATGCCTGCTCCTGGGACCCAACACAGCTGTGGCAGATGCTTTCCAGAGTGGAGCTTGAGGGTTTTGAACATGATTGGCCCAGGATAATGCTCACGGCAGCTCCTGAGAGGACTTCACCAAGGCCAGTGCTGTGACACAGTCCATCCGGTTTCGCGCTGTTTGTCACTCGAATCTCTGGGTGGATGTGTCCCTTGCCCCTGGCACCTCCTTTTTCCCTTATGGGTCTATGCAAAGGAGACTCTTGAGTCTAAACTGCACAGTGCCTCTGAAACACAGCATACCCTGCCACACCTCTGCTGCAGTCTTACCTCAGACTTAGCTTCTGTGTCCGCTGCAGCAAAGCTAGAAATGAGCCTCCATTGTGCAGAGGTGGAATTTTTGTGACCGGCAAAGCACCACCTTTTCCATGTGCTGGATTCTTGCGCAGGCAGTCAGATCCATACTTCTGCTGGCAAACTGTCTATCTTATTCTTACTGAATGCAGCAAAACCCCAGAATAACTGTGATAGATTTATAAACTTTTTCTTTTTTGTCTATATGTGATAAATATATAATTTCAAGACATGAAACAGTCTTTTTAAAGACCTTACAGGAGCCCTGTGCCCTCGAGTACAGCAGACTCTGATGTTGAATCCAAGTTTAGGGGATACACTGGAACCCCACCAGGTGTCAGGAAAGGAGGGGCCATGGCAGATGACTTCCTGTCTGTCCTCCATGTGAGGCTGAGGGCCCACATGGCCAGGCCTGCAGGGATGACAATGGGATGGCCCGGTGGGAGCCCACGGGGTGCAGGCGGAGGACAAGCTTGGAGCCTTCCAGAGTTCCTGAGATTTGTCATTACAGAAGGACAGAAGACATAGCAGATGAAAAGGGCAAGGGGGTAACTTCAAAGGAGTTATTTTAGCAAATGGGGCCTCGTATGGTCAGAATCAGAGTCTGAAGATTTCCAAACAGCCCATCTGCATGCTCTGCAGCTCTCAGGATTCCTCTTAAATCCTGCTCTGCAGGGATGTTCCTGATTAATTTCTTTAGTGGTTATTGGGGTATCCAGGAGGGAAACTTCGGGAACAACGGGCACATAGGCTGACTTGTGGACTGCTCCTTTCTGTGTGTTGAGGCTCCTGTTCCCATGGCCGGCTTTAGCTACTGATATTCCTCAGGGCTCCCTGGTGACTCCTGCTCCAGCCACAGCCTGTGTTCATTGCCAGGGCCCCAGGTGCCCTCTCCGTGGTGACTCTCAGCTCTCAGTCTCCAGCCCACACTGTCCTTAGTGCTCTGGGGGACAGGTGTACAGTTGCTGCTTGTCACCCCAGGGGACCTTGCAGCCAAGCCTATTGGAATCGCTTGGGAGCTGCGCTCTCCCCGGTTCATTGAAACATTTCCCACTCCTGCTGGTATTAGGAAGTGCTGGTCACCTGGGTGGCCGAGTGCAGACGTTAGGGTCGCTGTTTCACAGAGTTGTGCACTCACCTTGCCCTGCCTGCGGGACAGCTGGTGCCCCAACTTCTGTCACTCCGAGCTTTTGCAGCAGGATTGGCTTGCTGTTCTCGCCACCTTCCATCCTAGACTCTTTGGCTGTCACTGCTTGCTGGCTCCTCCTGCACGGACCATCCTCCAAGAGGGTCATTCAGTCTCTCGCATGTGACTGATTCACTCTTACACTGATTCATAGATAGGGTCTGACCCAGTCCACACTATTTGGCTTCAGAATCTTTATGCTGTATCTAGTTTTCTCAGTTTCTTAATTATTGTAGGTTTATTGTTTGCTATTTTATTAGGAAAATCTTTTCACTGCCACTTCAGATGGATCCTAACCCACTCTTTACAGTCTGCTGCTTTTCTCCTGGTGTGGCGGATGCCAGGGACAGGGGCAGTAGTACCCTCACTGCATATCCAACTCCCAAGTGTGTCATACGGATTGTCTTCTCCACTGAACCTATGGGAGTGTTGGTATTTATTTCTTCTCTTTGAAGGTAGAAAACTAAAGTTCACAGGGTTTGAAGAACCTTGCCCAAGAACATACAGTGGGAGAGTTGCGAATGTTGCTTTTGCACTGAAGGTTAATTATCAAGTTGGTGACACTAGATAAGACCCTGATCAGGGCATTGATTAGAGCCATTAGATCTCCCAATGTCAGAAAGGTGTTTTCACAGCACAGCGAGGTGGCCAATTGCACCAGTATAGTGCGCAGGGTTTGCATGAGGAGAGCTGGGGTGGGCAGGTATGAATTCCATAACCTGGGTTGTGGGGCTTGGACCTCAGACTCCTTTTAGAGTTTTCATGGTTGCGATTATGGCTGTCCTGCTCTTAGACTTCTGTCTGTACCCTAGAGACTTCTTTTTGGGTTAGTAGAACTGGCACCTAGCTGTTTACCCTGTTTTATTCTCCGTGCATTGTGCATCAGTGAGAAATGAGGAAAGACTATGCTCTTAAGAATATTTCAGGATTTAACATTACAAATAGTCTCTCATCTCTTATCTCATCTCTCCTCTCTTACTGTCTTAATGCCCAGATGTTGTGCTAAGGAAGATATAAACATCATCTCATTTAACACTCACACCAGTCCTGAGAAGATGGGCTGTGATTGTCTTGTTATCAGTCTAGACCACAACAGCCCTGAACGTGGTTGTCTTAATCTTCTCAGGCTACCACAGTAAAATGCCAGTGGTCAGGTAAATAAATCAACAGAAACGTATTTTCTCATAGCTCTGGAGCCAAGGTCGAGGTCTAGCAGGGTTAGGTTCCTGGAGAGGGCTCTTCCTGACTTGCAGATGTTGCCTTCTGCCTTCTCTCTGTTCCCTTGCACGATGGAGAGAGAGACAGGGGCAGATGGAGATCTCAGGCTCTTCTGCATAAGAACACCAATCCATTAGTATTAGGGTTCCACTCTTGCCAACCCATTTAATCTTAATCCCCTCCTAGAAACCACTCATATTGGGTACAAGACCTTCAACATGTGAATTTGGGGGAGGACAAAAATTCAGTCCATACCGGTGGTGGGAAATGTGCAGTTTGACTTTAAGGGAAAGACAATGTTACTGAGACCCTAAAAATGTTTCAGCTGTGTGGAAAGCAGCTTTCTTCTACTCTCTGGACCCTCCTGTTCTTGTTTTCTATGAAGAGGGGACAGAGCTCCTGCTAGGCAGTAGAACTCTGCTCTGTATTTGATAGGAAGCTCTGACTCTGGGTGCAAGAAGATTTAAACATTTCTTTGGGTTTAAATAAATTCATCTTCTGTGGGGGGGTCTCTCATTATCTTCATAAAGAAGCTTATCTTTAGGAGAAAAGTTGTCTCCTTGGTGTCTGCCTGTCATTAAACAAGAGATGTCTCTAATGTCAAAATGTAGTTGCATTCTCCTTTCTGCTGAAAAAACCCTGCTCTCTGGAGACTTTTGGTGACTGCTCTGTTTCTTTTCCAGGAAACTAAAGAAACTGTTTCGGAAGCTGAAAGATGAGACAGAACCTGGAGAAGCTGACCCCGAGCATTCCAAACCTCCAGAGCAGTGGGACCTGGACTATAGCCTGGAGCCGTACACTGGGCTGACTCCGGAGTACATGGAAATGAGTGAGAGCCTGGTCCTTCCTTCCCTGGGGGCTCAGAAGCAGGATCCCCATGGGGCTACGGGTGGAGGAGACCAGGTTGCAGGTGCGGCAGCTTCTGTTCCTTCCTCAGGCCACTTAGGTCTCCAAAGGTGTTGCGTGAATGCTGAGAGCCAAGCATCTCTGTCCCTGATTTGGTAGATGCTGCCAGGCTGGTGTCTTCTTGGGCCTTCGCTGCTCACCTATAAAAGGAAAAATTTGGTCTCTGGCGTCCATCCCTGTGGTTTATGTTATGGCTAAAGGTTAAAGGGAAGCTGCTATTTGGAATTTAGGAATGTAATTTCTGCTAAAGAAGAGTAAAATAGACCCGTGTTTAGGAAATATGTGCCTTTGACAGAGTAGTAAAGGAAGGTCCAGACTCTGAGCAGGTAGAGGCTGGGTGAGATGCCATACTGTCAACAAAACATCGAAGAAGTTTTGTGCAAAGAGTGACAGTAGATGCCCAGCTACGGGGCCCCTGGTTGCTTCACTTGGGCAGGTGTGCAAATCCGGAAAAGGAAGCTTAGAAGCCCAGAGTTCTCCATTAGAAGACATGTTCCAGCTTGGACTAGCTGCCTTCAGCCTCTCCTCTGCTGGGATGGGTGTGTGGAACCCTTTCTGAGTCTTAGAACTAACAAATTAAAAGTATAGGGAGCCAAGTAAAGGGCCCAGATACAGCATCTGAATGTTTACTCAGCCTAGAGATTATGAAGAAGCATCACTGAGAGCCAGCATGAGGGTCACTCAGTACTTTGTTCAGTGCCTCGTATCACCACTTTCACAGTCGCTCCTGACTGGCTGCTTGGGTTACTCGCCTTTAATAAGGGGCTAAAGTGCCTCTCCGCGTTCTTTGTTCCTAGTGGGTATTTGTCCTATTCCGTTTTAGGAATGTGTGTATGTATGTTAGGGGCCAGGGATGGGCAGGGTCTGGATCTGATGGCCAGAAAAGATCAGTTAAAGCCCTGAAGCATCTAAAATTCATGTCAAAATCTGAGCTTTCTGTCATCTGCATCACCTCACCAGAGAAGGAACAATGACGAAGTGTGCTTCGGGAGTGATTGCCACAGAAATCGCGGAGACCCGGTTTATGGGAGTCCTGCATTTTCACACTGCGCCTGTTTAGCTAAGTGCCGTCTCTCCTCTCTTGCTAGCGGTGGGCCAGACTCTCCCACAGTGGCGCCTGCTCCTCTTTCATATGCCCTTCTACACCCGCCAGAAAGGAAGGTGTCAGTTCCTGCAGTAAGGCACCCGCTGGGAAGGGCGCCCACCAGGCCCCAGGCGCTGCCTCTGCCTGCAGCCCAGCCCCCATCATCTGTGTGGTTTGGTGTTCTTGCCCTCCTGCCCGCCGGTCTGTCCAGCCAGCCAGCTATTTCGTAGCATAGTTTATTTGAGTCACTGAGAGGGACCCTTGAGCCCCATTCCCTGGATTCAAATCCCACCTCCCTGATAGATTAGCTGGAAAACTTCAGCAAGGGGCTGCTCCTTAGGTATCTCAATTTGTTAGCAGTAATAACAATAATATGTATCACATGGGATTGTTGTATTTATTGAATTAATAGCTGTGAAGTCTTAGTGGAGCGCCTATCACATACAAAAGCTATGCGCAGTGTCAGAGTTGTTTCTGTTAAAGGGCTTGAGGCCATAGGAAGGCAGAGGAAGGCAGAAGAATATGCTCTATTTTGTCAGCTGCTGTGTGGTTAAATATACATCCAGTATGTGTTCAAACTTGGGTACTTACAAAGTAGGAGAAGACGGAAGAACAAAATGAACTGGAATACTCACTGACTGTGGGAAAAATTCACACCAAGATTTTAGAGAATGAATTTCATAGCACAGATTAAAAAAATAACTACATGGATTATAAGTGAAAAACCAACCATATATGTAACAAGAAATTTTGAATATAGAAAAAACAGAGAAAAATGTCTCTCAAAACTTCCCTTATCCAAAACGAACTTTTAAAATCATTTAAGTGTCATTTCTTAGACTTTTTGTTATAAGATTTAAAAAATAAAGTTGTGTTCATATACATTTTTTTTTCATTTACCATTATAATAAATGTTCCCAGTGCCTGGCGTGGTGGCGCATGCCTGTAATCCCAGCACTTGGGAGGCTGAGGCAGGAGGATTGCTATGAGTTCAAGACCAGCCTGGGCTACATAGTGAGTTCCAGGCCAGTCTCAACTACATAGTGAGACCCTGTCTCAAAAGACCAAAAAAAAAAAAAAAATGTTCCCAAGTTGTCACCTAATATTCAAAACTATAGCTGCATAGTAGTTGCTCTAATAAACGTAGCATGATGTATTTACAGTGGTACCTCGGTCCAGGAACTTAATTCTTTCCATGATTTTGGTCACAGAATTGGTTCCACTATTGCAACTGGGATCATGGAAAAAACTAAGTCCGTGAACTGAGGTACCACTGTACCTGTCTTTCAGTGAAAGGCACGAAAGGTCATTTCCCAGTTTTCCCCAGGTTTTAATCTCTAATGCAGTGCACACTCTCTTTGTGTTCCATTTGATGTTTCACATTAGCATTCCATCAAGATAAATTTAGACAAGATGGTTTTGTTCGATGGTGCTTGATTCATTTTAACAAATCACTTTCAAAAAACAAAATCAGACTGACTCAGCCACAGGTAGTACATGCAAACACAGTTCCAATGAGTACCCTTAATTATTCCACACCCTGAAGTCTTGTGATTTGGAAGAATTATCAGCATCTACTAAACTGGATATTGCCAGCCTTCTATGCATTGCCCTTTCCACCTCATTTTCCTGGACCTTCCAGGCTCACTCATCCTTAGTGTAGCTTTCCATGGTGCTTCCTCTGTGAAGTCTTCCAAGGCCAAGCTCAGTTCCTCCCGAGTGGAAGCATGATTTATCAGCCTTTCTGTCCTAGCATCATGTTTGGTACACACGCGGATGTATTGTGCATTGGTCATCCTTCCATTGATGGGATGAAATACCTAGCAGACACAAGTTAAAGGAGAAGAGGTGATTTTGCCCTCAATTTCAAGGATTTGGTCCTTGCTTGGCTGAAACATCTTGACGGATGACAACTATTCACATCGTGGCAGTCAGGAAGCAGAGAACAAGAGGAGAGCTAGACCAGAAGAGATCATTTTATCCCTCAAAGACAGCGATTTGCTTCTGTAAGGCTCCGCCTGCTGTCAGCATATTCGGTTATGGATTTATCAATGAATCAGTCCATCAGTGAGGTCAGTATGCCATACTCTAAGGACCTCCCAAATCTTCACCCATGAACACATGAATATTTGGGGGACATTTTTGATCCCATGTATAACAACAGATGGGATCTTACTGAATTTTGGTACTGTTGCCCAAGATTTCTCTTCTTCAACAGACCCAGTCTGTTAGGTATGAAAGAGCAGCTAGGAGGCACTATGGCTTACTCCTCTTTGTGCCCTTCAGAGTCCACCATGTTTCCTGGCACAGAATGTCCGATAAACAAAGATGAGTGTTTGAGTGAGTGAAGGCTGATCAGTGGAGAATATTCCCTAGGGGAGGTGAGTCTGTAATCACAGCTTTAAGAGGCAGTGGGTCATTTTTAAAGCAGGGTTTGGGGCATGGTGGGTCTGAGATGCTCTGAAGAAGTTTCTTATTCTAGGGTGGAGGCTGACTTAATGACCCCAAGGTCCTCTCTGCTGCAGAGGGTCTACTTCTTAGTGATAAGAGCAAAAGGGGCCAGGGATGTGGCTCAGTGGTGTCGCCACCTGCCTCACAAGTGCAAGGTCCCGAGTTGGATCCCTGGAACCCCCCAAAAAGCAGAGAAGATCACTGCAAGGAAGAGGACTGGCCAGTGCATCATCTCAGGACTATAAGCCAGCGCTGACCAAGAAAAGCGAATGGTAGCGGACTCGTGCAGTCATTCACGCATCCCTTCACTCATCGGATGTTTACAGGCACCAAGGGGAAGAGCAAGTCTGGAGACCAGAACAATGTCATCAGTGCAGGTTGGCACTGATACCAATGTAGCGAATGATTCTGTTGGTGCCCATGTACTTTTGCCTGGAAGAGAAATAAACCCTGGGTCATGTGTGCGTTTTCCATGCTGAAGACCCGCAGAAATTTGTTAGGTTCTTTTGCTGAGAATTTTAATCATTTCAGAGAAGTAGCAGCATTACTTCATTTTATGCCAGCACGCAGACAGAATTTTCTGGGTTGGGTCCTTTTCGTTGCTCTTGTCTCTGGACTGTCTCCTTCACCCTTCAGGGGAGTATGTGTTCTTTTGCACAGTGGGAACTTGGGACACAGCATCGACGCCATCAGATTTATCATGCTGTGCATGGTGTTATTAGAGGAAAGGTCTGGAGTCAAGCTACTGGGCTCCCAAACCTGGCCTGCCACGCAAGGAGCCTGGGGCTCTGGGATCAATGCTTAAAGCCATCTAGGCCCAGTTTCCCCCCTAAACACTAGCTTTGATGATAGCAGCACCTACCTCGTAGGGCTGTTCTGAGAATTAGACGATGAACACAAAGCAGTTAACTAGTGCTTGTAGGCATAGATTCGCTGCCAACATTCACCACCGTTGTTTCCATCGTTGAGTCCAGTTTCTCTGGAACCCAGCAAGTTTTTGACTGAAATAGTTTGAAGTCCCTGATGTAATGGGCACTGCAGGTTCTTCCTGTCCCATCAGTGTTGAAATTGTGAAGGAATGCTCAAGAGTCCAAGGCCCTTCTGAGGCTCATACTTGGAAGCCAGAGTTCCAAATGCTCTGAGAGCTTTGTTGTTTCAGAGACTTTTAAGCCCTTAGGGGTCCACTTGACAATCCTGCAGTCTTCAATGGGCTCTTTTTGTCATCTGTTTATCTAAAATCTCTGCTTTTGCTCCTGTCCTCATCCAAAACATAATTGCTATTGGCTTCCTAGCTCAGGAATTCAGTTATTGCCCTTAAAGCTGATCCCACGTTCTTAAATGTAACCCAAAACGTTGAGGCCCTTGGGCCTTTTCTTTGGGTGCTGAGATGAATTTCTTCTGTCACTCACCCAGCCATTAGAGGAAATCTCATTTTTCTCAGTTGTGGTCTTAAATATTGTCAAGCTCTATAGAAAGGGAGGCGCATCCTGAACGCTTGTTACTTACTCTTCATTTGAAAGGAAAGTTAAATATGAATTTTGAATGGCAAGGGTCCGAGGCTCTCCTGCTCTCTGGAAATGTCCATCAAGTCTGCTGAGAATCACCTTGACGGGAGTGGGGGACACATGACATGGCCTACCCGTCCACCTCACAGGAGACCAGGGCATTAGAGGCCTGGAAACCATCTCCGAGTTAGCCAGGTCTCCACGCCATCCTTCCAGCTGCGCATGGGCTGTAGCTGGAGGGTCCTCACATCACTAGCTTCACCTCTAGAATACTATTGAATTCCCATTGGAACTCCCATCCTTTCTCCTCTGAATTACTGCCAACGCATTGTAACCTGTCTCCCTGCTCCCTTTCCCACTCCCTTTCATGTGTCCTTCTCAATTTCTAGAATGTCTTGTCTAGTGTGCACACCAGGGCATATCCTTTTTTCTGCTCCCCATCCTTCAGTGTTACTGACTTCTCTTCAGACAGAGTTCTCATCCTGTGGCACAGCACACAGGGTATCTGCAGGCTGATGCTTATTTTGTCCCTTCAGAGGGCCACATATGCGTGACTGTGACGCTTCCACACAATGAGCTTTGGAAGACATTTTAGACAGCCGACACAGTCATTTTTCTTTAACCCGTAACCTTTGCATTTCCCTCTTTACCAGGGCATATCCAGATACTTCTGTACATGTGGCAATTTCTGTCTCCCACGCCATGTTTATTATTATCAGGGTTTCCCTTAAAGGAGAGCTGCCTGTAGTATTAATTTACCCCGTTCTTTTCAGTCACCCAGTCCTCTGTGGGAGTGGACAGAGTACAAGCCTGTGACTTGGAGGCTGACTTGGCTTGGACCAAAGAATTCTTAAAGATTGGGCTGAACCTCCACATCCTCACGCACTCCTCGCTCTGTATCACATGCTCCCCGTGGCCTGAGGGCCAGGCTGTGGTGTCAGGTGCTGGGGACACAGGGACAGCCAATGTGGCCCATGCCTGTTGAGTTTTGGGGTGTGGTGGCCTCTGATTTCAGAGGGCCTGGGACCCCTCCGCTTCTGTCTGACCATGCACAGATGAGTGACGGAGAGTTGCCCACTCTGCTCTTGCCTCTGGCCTGCGAGTGCACTGTCTCCAGCTATTACTGGGTCCTAGAGACTGGACCAAACAGGAAGTTCCCTTCCGATGATTATCTCGATCATCTCGTGTGTTCTGAGACTTTGGGTGAAGGGCCAGGAAGCATTTCTAAGCTGTTGTGCATGGAAATTCAGTTCCCCTACCTGTATTGTGAGTTCTTTACCCCATGGATGGCCCCACCCGACTGTCTTCCAGGTTGCTAGCTGAGAAGTCTTTCCATCGCTGTGGGTTCACACCACCCCTCCTCCAGCCTGGTGGGTTTAGAGTGTCTGTGATCTTCCCTTCCCTTCTCCATCTGGTCCCCTCTCTCCTATATCCTCCACACAGCCACTTGCCGACCCTGTGAGGTGTCATGTTGGTCATACAGCGCCATTGTGCCACCACACACCCTGCACCCTTTGCGTGCCTGACCTCTGGGTGCCCTTGGCCCTGGAATTCCCTGTGCCTTCTCATGCTCGTGTCCAAGGCCAGCTCTGTGTCAGCTGCTCCAGAAAGCATCCCTTTAGCTCCTGTCACACTTGAACAGGGCTTCCTGCTAGTAATCAGCATTCCAGGTTCCTGGAATTGCAGGCCCTCACCCAGTGGCCCTAGGCACAGGCACTAGGAGCGTGCCAGGCAAACCCATGGAGGGCTGACGGAGTAAATGGGCACCAGCTTGTCTGTCTCTGGCTTTCTCTTATCTAGGCAGAAAGAATCTCTCTGTAACAATGCTGTTCAGCTTCTCCTTTATTTATGGGCTGATAATCCAGTGAGTGGATTATCAAGAGTGGTGGTTATCTGTGTTTCTTCTTCTCTGCCCTCTCCTCCTCCTCCTCCTGTGCCCCCTGCCTCCTTCCACCCCTTCTTCTTCCGGCCCTCCCCCACCCCAGCCCCCCCACCCCCAGTAAGCCTGGAAATAAGAGAAGGTGTAATGTGAGCCCATCCATGCTGCTCCTCGCGGCAGCTCTGGGAATAGCTCTGGGAGGGAGAAGACTGAAGGCAGACATCTCAGCCTCCTTGGGGTGACGGTTTCTGCCACCCAAGGGCAGTGGATAAGATGTGGCTATAGTCACTGTTCCACTGTGTCGCCTTCCCTTGTCCCTCCGCATGGCAGTGTCTTTCCACGTGATCACGGCTCCCAGAGCATCAGCTGAAACGCGGGTGGGAATTGTCTCTGCCTTATCCTCTTGCTGGGCCTCTCTTCCTTGCTTGGCCCTGTGGAAACAAATCAGAGGATGAGTTTTCCCCTGTTCTGCATGCAAAACTGATGGTGTGATGTGTCCCAGGTGATGCAGGACCATGGTGTTTTGGAAATGGATCTAAAACAGTCAGTGTTGCCCTTGCTTTCCCAGACTCCTAGAGGTGTTGTGAGGGGCACAGCAAAGGGAGTTCCCAGATGCACAAGTCTGAGTGGGCACGTGTGATGGGTCTGCATGGGAGGAATGGCGGCCTGTGGGGGCTGGGTCACCCCAGGGCCCCTCACAGCACCGTAGCTCACGCCCTCCAGGGCTGATGTGGCTACCAGGGTCCCCCCAGTAACCCGTTGGTAGAACTAAAGCTAGTGCCCCTCTTGGGCTGTTACAGGAGAGAATCTGATCAGAACCTTGGAAACTTGAGCCCGGTGAAGGGATGGCGAGGAGCAGGGGTCCCACCTCCCCAGCTCCCCAGGGTCCCGGTCTTGGATTTGAACAAAAACGAAGAAGTGAAACCGAAGCTGCCCGCTCCCTCTGGTGTGCCTGACACGGCAATCCCTGCCCTGCTCTCAGCTGTCAGCTTCCTTCCCATGATCCCCGGGACCACCCGTGCAGGCAGGAAGTGCGCTGAGCCCATTCTGAGCCTGTCAGTTCTCATGGTGGGCAGGTCATCAGCAGAGGGAGAAGCCTGCGAGATGCATTGTATTTACATTTGTCTAAATTGACCTGGAAGAAGGCCCCAGGCCCTGCCAGCCCAGGGGGAGGGCAGGAGGTGAGGGAAGCCTCAGGTCACAGGCTGGAAGGCAGGCTGAGGGAGAGCAGGGCAGCAGCCACCTCTGGCCCCCCAGCGGCTGGCTCCAGACAAAGAGAAACCCGAGAGTGAGGGATTAGGCTGGGAGAACCTGTGAGGGGCGCAGTAGGGCTTTCCAGGGAATCTCCAATATCAAACCCTTTTCCTGAAGAGCTTTGGGGAAGGCTTCCATGGGAGATCTCCCAGCCCCCGCTGAGGGCAGGAAGAACTGGCGCAGGAGCAGGCGCCAGAGTAGCCACCACTGTCCTGACCCAACATGGCGCCTCAGAAGAGAAGAGCCTCCTCAGTTGTTCTGAGAGCTGCGGGCTAAGCTGTCTGGTCATTTGAGCAGTTTACCTTTTCTCACAGAGACAAATTCTGCAGGAAAATACAGGAACAAATTTAATCTTGTAAGAGGAGTTTAGAGACAAGTTCTGACTGAATTTCTTGATGGTTTTATTACCATTTTATCTAGATAAATAGGAACACGATTGTCAGTTGTTCACACCTGAAGGCCACACTTGGTCTTGATAATCCCCACTCTGGGTGACCCACCCCCTGGAACTGTCCCCATGGCATAGTTGCCCATCCTCCTCTTGCTTCCGGCCTGTGACTGCCAAATGTCCTCAGGTGTTGGGGCCCACGGAGGGCGGCAAGCTCAGCCCCCAGCTGTCCCTTCAGTTGTGTCTTGAGATTCCAGACGAGGCAGGGGAGGGCCGGAAGAGAATGCATCTCGGTAGACGTTTCTAAGCGTTAATGTGTGGAGACTTAGTCCCACTGATTGTTTTCTGAGTCCTCTGCCCTCACATGGTCTCTTGCATGGAGGAATCACCCTGTGTTCCTAACACTCACTAACCTGTGAGAAAACCGTGTCAAGAGCAAGACCCATGTCTGTCTTCACAGCACCCAGCCTCACAGTAGAACATCCACAGCTGTGTGCTGTGGCAGGAAGAGTATCAGAGATGTGACATGTATGTTTACTAATTTGCCAAGATGACTACAATTATTATATTGCAAACATGTACTAAAAATAAAATGAAAAACAAAACCAAGACCGATGCTGAAAAACCAATAGCTGTCTTAACCAGAGTAAAAATCAAAGAAAAATCTTTATGCCTCTTGTGCCCCAGTCATATATAAGATGACTGTGTTCTGAAGATGCATATAGCATAGCACTGTGCTTGCAGTAAGTCATAGGGTTGTGTACTTTAAAATGTGTTTAAAGCATAGGCCTCGTGCTAAGTACTCTCACCATAAAAACCAAATAAAATGCAGAATCCATAGGGAAATTTTGGGAGGGAGGTTAAGTTTAGTATCTCGATTGTGGTGATGGTATCGCTGTTTAAAATCATCAAAAGGTCGCCAGGGTTGGCATAGGCCTGGAATTCCAGTGCTCAGGAGGCTGAGGCAGGAGCATTGCTGTGAGTTCAAGGCCAGTCTGGGCTACGTAGTGAGTTCAAGTCCAACCAGAACTACATAGTGAGACCCTGTTTCATCCCCTCCCCAAATCATAAAATGGTATACATTAAATATGTAGAATTACCAGTGATATGGCTTATACCTCAAAAAAGCTTCAAAAGATGAATTAAAAAAAAAAAAACTAAAAAGTGATTTTGAGGACAAAATGACAGAGACTCCGCAAACATTATTGTCATCAGAGCTGTCCCAACACTCTGCTGTTCAGATGTCTGTGGGTGCAAGGACAGCTTGTTCTGGAGCGTGAGCAGCGGGAAGGCTCCCCTGCTAAGAGCCGGAGCCCTGTGGTGATACGCAGTGATGGCTTGTAAATTTTCTAGGAGGTTCAAGTAAGACACCCCAAGAATTGTCAACAACTACTGCTTTATAACAACTACCCAAAGTATCAGGGACTTAGAAATGAGAAAGTAAAGTTCAACCCAAGATCTGGTTGGGTGGGTGGTGATTCACCCTACCTTGGAAATGGTCTGCTCAAAGTGGCCACTTGTTAAAGAGGGAGAGAGTGCAATCCCAGTGTCCTGGCAGGCGAAGGCAGCAAGATCGCAAGTTTGAGACCAGCCTGGGTAACACTGCAACTTAGCAAGATTCGGTCTCCAAGTTAAAGCAGGCTGGGGATGTAGCTCAGTGCAAGGGCCCTGGGTTCAGCACACACACACACACACACACACACACACACACACACACACACAGAGCAGAATGAACAGATGCTTCTGAGGACACTTGAGCTCCCTTTTGCTCTGCTGCTGCTCAGCCGTGGGCTGTGCTGAGTGATTTCCAGATTTCCCAGAGAGGCTGGGTGGAAGTGATGAGAAGTTTTGGAGTATCCACAAGCCACCAGCTCTGAAGTCCCCATGTAGGGCCATCCCAGGTCGCTGCACTGCTTGGCAGGGTCTGTGCTTGGGGTCCCCCGCCCATTTGCATGTAAGAGCAAAGTGACACTGTCTTGGGATGCTGCAGCCTTGGACTCAGGGAAGGCCCCTGAGGATGGAGGGCACCACCTCAACACCATAGTGGTGCATGGATGGAGGAAGGAATGAACGGAAGAGTCTTTCTGAGTAAAACTCACGGAAACTGCACCCTGCTGGCTCAGCGGGGACTTTGTCCCTCCTCCACTGTCACGTAACTGTGGGTTGCCAGAGCTCACATATTTGTTTTGCCTTCTTTTCTGTGCTTGTTTCTTTAAAAAATAAAATTCTGTAAACCTAGTTGCATTTTTATTTTGTTGACTTTTTCATAGCCTTTTGGGGAGAGGTAGATGAGGAGGAATCAAGCAAACAGAAGTCAGAGCTTCCCTCCCAACCCTGCCTGGCTCCATCACCCTTCTGCCTCCCTGGCTGCCTCCCGCAGCCTGGGCCGAGGATGTGCATCGGCCTCCATGCCCTGGCCCTGTCCTGCAGGCGGAGCAGGGAAAACAGCGGTTTATGCTTTGTTCACACAGTACCATTCTGGAGCTGCCCCAGGCTGTCTGCTGAAAGTGAGTAAATCCTACGTCTCACTCTCACTGTGCTCTGGCTTCGTTGCAGAGCTGGGGCAGGCGTGAGGACTGAACCTGCTTTAAATTCAGAGAAATGCAGAAATGGCAGTGCCAAATGCACCTTGCTGACTCGTTCCAGGGCTGCTTTGGCTTTCGCCCTGTACACATTCACCTCCAGAGCGAGTGGAGAGCAGGTCCTCCGTGTTTCCAACGGGAAGCCGTGCAGTGTATAAACCCCAGGTGACCCTGGGCCCAGTGACAAGGAACTCCGCTTGCTGACCTTAGTTCCTGGGCAGCTTGTGGATTTGGATCTGTGCTGCAGGAAGGAGCTTAGGTCCCAGCCACATTGCAGTCTTTTGTGCGTCGCCTTCCTGTTCTTCAGGTCACAGCCAGGGGTTATGAATTCTGCAGGGTCCCCGGGGCTCTGCTGTGACAGCGAGTCCTTCCTGCCCTGCGGCTCTGCAGGTCCTATGAGCTCTGCCACTGCTGTCCTAACTCTGCGCAGATCTCATCAGGGCTTGGTTATGCGACTCTGCCCAGCATGTACTATAGCTGCTTGGAAGGATAACACAGTAGTCTTTTTGGTCTGAGTCTGTTTTATGTCACTATAAGAGAATAACTAAGACTGGGGAATTTAGAAACAGTAAAATCTATTTGGCTATGCTTCCGAGGCTGGGAAGGCCAAGGGTGGCTTTGTGCTGTGTCGTGCATGGTGGAAGGTGAAACAGCAAGAAAGCGCAGGAGAGCAAGAGGGAGCCAGGGCCAAGCTTGCTTTGCCACAGGCTCTCTCAGAGCGGTGAAGCCACTCTGACCCAATCGTTACCTCACACAGGAGGGAGCGGTTCTGCTAAAGGCCCCTTGGCGTGGGGCAGTGAGGGCTGAAGCACCAGCTGCACTCTGAGGGGCATCTCTCTCTCTTTTTTTTTTAAGGTACTGGGGATCAAACTCAGGTCCTTGCACTTGTGAGGGAGGCAGTGGCACTACTGAACTAAATCCCCAGCCCTGAGGGGCACATCAGACATAGAAGCACCACACACCTCTGTGGAGTGCAGTGTGTAGGATGGGCTCGTGAGCGCTTGTCGGATGGGTGAGTGAGTGGTGGTGGAGGATATCCAGAGCTCAAGTTTCCGTTAAGCCTTCTGCTGTTGTGTTAGCCGCAGGCTCGGGCTGAGGATGCAGCCCTTTGTTTCTCTCGGTCTGTCTACATGGACCCTCGGATTGCAGTTCCTTTCACACCAGGTGCCCTCAGCATGGCACAGCTGCCTCCCCTTGGCCTCTGAGAAGGGGTTCTGCGGGCTTGGTGCTGGAGTGTGGGCTGGTGAGGTTGGCGGTGCTGACCCTGCGGAGGGTTCCTGCCAATGGGACCTGGCGGGTCTCTTCCAAAGCTGCCTCTGCCTGATGAGCATGAGCCCCAGAGCTTCCCTGGCCCTGCTCATGCGAGGCTTGGAAGAGGGAGGTTCTGAAGCCTGGCTTTCCATTCCTGTCAGGAGACCGTGTTGCTTTTACTAAACCATGGGACTTTGTAAGGCTGTACTGCAGTCATTTGTATTAAAATAGAATGTTTTTGCTTTAGATTTCTTCACAGTCCTCTGTAGAGATCACAGCAATAAGAAGCATAGTGTGCAGGAAACACAGTGCATGTCTCAATCCCTCCACTCCTGGACTAGGTGCAGTGTGTTCAGTTCCTTTACTCTGGTGTGTGTGTGTGTGTGTGTGTGTGTGTGTGTGTGTGTGTGTGTGCGTGTTTCACAGCTGAAGAAAATAAGTTCATATTAAGCAATTTCATATCTTAAGCCTTCTGTGATGTGGCAGGCACCACAGAAAATCATGAGGACTCAGAAAAGAGTCAATCATGTTTCCTGACTTCAAGGGACTTACCCGCTAGATACAGTGTAGGGTTGGATAAACTGGTGTGTGCAAGGCATCCTGGGAAGGAGGAGAGCCACCCACTTGCCACATGCCCACCAGAGTGAGCTGGTGGAGAGTGAGGGAAGAGGTGAGTGCCACAGGGAAGGCCCAGTTTGAGTTGAACCTAAAAGGTGAGTAGTAATTCACTTAGCACAGATGAGAGGAAAGTTACGGAGAATAGCGGTGTGGACAAAGGCTCAGAAATGAGAAAACAGTTTGAAGGAGTTGGAAAGCAGGTAGAGCCAATGTCCGGCATTCCGGCTAAACCCTAGCCCTAAGCATGCACAGAATCCAGGGGTGGGGGAGGAAGTGAGTCTGGGGAAGAATTATGGTCACATCCTAAAGGGTCTCGAATGCCAGGCCTACGGCTGGGGCTTTGGGGTTTGTGTGTGTGACAGAGGGTAGATATTTTTGCTGAAGAATTCCAAGTAAATGAGTGGAAAGGCAGGGATTTGTTGCTCTGAGATCTTTGCTGCCAGTCCTGGCAAGCCCATTCTCTTCTGCCTCCTGCACTGTTTTCCTTCTCTGAGCAGATCATCCCGGAGTGTCTGCTGGATGCCGTCTTGTTTTGTTGAGCCCACTCTTCCTTGTCATGTTGACCTAAACCTAGGTAGTCACTCATGGTTTTAGCTGTCTCCAGCACTAGGACTGGTGGTTGTTTTAGAAGGCTCTTGACTGCTGGTGTGTGAGGGGAGAAAACCAGTGGGGTTATTCCCAGAAGCACTGCCAGGCTTTGTGTTTCCAACTCAGTATTTCTGGAGCACTTTATAGCAGGCTTTGTAAAGATTTAGATGAAAATCAGCTTATGGATTCCTTCCTAATTGGCTTGGCCAGGTTTAGTGTGTTCTTGGTCAGGCCAACCTGGTTTCTATTAGGCAGCACATTGAGGATTTCCGGTGCTGTTCTTATCTGAAGGAAGGTTTGCTGTTTTTAGAAAGAAATCTGGGTGTAGGTGAAGGCTCCCATCATTGTGGCAGATCACTGTGGCAGTGACCCCAGAGGGGCTGGCATCTGACGTGCAACACTTCCGGCCTTTGCCTGAAAGAGCAACACTAGAGTGGTTTTATGTATACTTTTTCCTCCCTAAGATTAAAACAAACCTTGCTATTTGTTTTTGCTTCTTTGGACTAAACCCTGCCAATGCTCAGAATGCCCTCTAGCTGCAGGGCACAGCTTTTTCGGGCCAGGATACCCTGAAGTAACAGCAGAGGGGGGACAGGAATGCTGTGTCACTGCGGGCCCAGTGTCACTCTTGGCTACACCACTCTCCCAAGGTTGTCCAGGGCTCACCATGTGGACTCCTGTGGCCAGGGAAGAAGGCCTGGCTTTCAGCTGTGGGACCAGAATAGTTGATGGGAAGTATTAGCATAAAGCTGTCCCCAGAAGAGGACTAGTTGGTAGAAGAGAGAAAGAGAGCTGTGTCTGGAGTTTGTGAAGGTAAGAAATCAGATGGAGCATGCTCCTAGAGGACAGCATTTCCTTACTGCCTCTGGAGTCCTGCAAACGAAGAGGAGGGGGAAGTCCCATGTCCCTTGTAGTCCAGGGCGGATGTTGGATTACTGGGTGCATGCGAGGCCATGCTGCGCATATTTTTGATCACTCCGAAATACACTGCGCCTTTCCTACCTCACCAGCTCCATTCCAAGCCCTTCCTGGGCCTCCGCAGAATTATACAACTATGCTTCAGGAAGCTCGTGATAAGAATGTTTGCTCTGTTGAGCTGAGCTCATTAGCATCAGGATCAACTTTGAGCTCCAGAAATAGCAATACCCCCATATATGTACTTAAATACAGACATGCACTTTACAGGTTTTACAAAATTGATACAACTTCTGTTTTGCTTTCTTTGTTTATTCTATCCCCCTTTACCTGCTCTGCCCTTATCCCTACCCTGTCTCCAAAGTGAATTCCTCTGCAAAGTGTCATTTAAAAGATACAGTAAACTGCATTTGAAACTGGCTCCCAGGGCTTGTGTTTGAAGTTTCTTTGCCTCTCCCACCCCATTGGCCAGCTGAGCAGTCAGTACCAGGGCCCAGGCTTGACTGCTGGGTGGGCAGCAGTGTCAGATCACTGTGGTTGCTTGCTGGAAGCCTGGGGAAACTGGTCAGGAGGACAGCAGTTGGGAGATGTTGGGGGGTGCAGTTCCTGCCACATGACCATCGCAGACTGCCACGCACCCTGGCTCACGTTGCTTCTGCAGCCCAGCCTGCTCTCTGCAGTTCAATTTTCAGCAAGCTGCCAGCCAGTCTTTGCAGACAGTGCTTGGGGGCCATGAACAGAGCTATCCTTAGGCCCCACCCACAGCGGACTTTAGCTCTGTCGCTCTCCTCTGTCTCTGGCACATTTTCTCTCTCTCTCAGAAAAAGAAAAAAGGAAAACCCATTTTTCCACCTTTGTTCATCTTTATGTCCCCCCTCGAAACTAGCTCCTGGAAGGCAGGACCAGACCTTTGCCTCCTTAAGTACTTGGCACAGTGTCTGCCATTGAGAGAATGCCCCACAAGCTTGTGATGAATGAATACACTTTCCAAAGAAAGGCACGGACTACAGCTGTGGCAAGAAGAGTCCACATTTGGGAGGTGTTTCTCTAAAGTTTCATCAAGAGTTGGCAGACTGTGGCCTATGGGTCAAATCCAGCTTGCTTTTATTTGTTGCTTTTGTAAATAAAGTTTTATTGGAGCACAGCCAAGCCCACCTGTTGATATGTTGTCTCGGGCTGCTCTTGAGTTGTTGCCACAATTCTGTGCAGTCCACAAACCCTAAAACACCTACTGTCTGGCCCTTTGCTGAGTAAGTTTGCCGATCTCTTAGTAGAGGAAGAGGGTTGTTGACTGGAGGTAGAGGAAGCCTGAAAGGAAAGAGTCATAATCCCTGCTTCTCGTTTGCGTTGGCTCCTGACTGTGCCCACTCCAGAGCTTTGCTCCCAAGTGACAGCATGGCCTGATGGCGGAAGGTACTGAGAAGGGAAGGCCCACGGGAGTGGTGCAGGAGCAAATCGGGCCCTGGGGAGAGAGACCGAGGGCCACAGTGCAAGGCAGATTTAATCCAGCACCTGCTTCTTCCGGTGACACCTCTTGTGCTGCTTTTTCTCCTAGTCATCCAGTTCGGTTTTGTTACTCTCTTTGTGGCCTCCTTTCCTCTGGCGCCTGTGTTTGCCCTTCTCAACAATGTCATCGAAGTGCGGCTTGATGCGAAAAAGTTTATCACAGAGCTGAGACGGCCGGATGCTGTGAGAACCAAAGATATTGGTATGTCAACCACTTGGAGGCCACAGGCCCTCGTCCCACCTTGCGGGTGGCTTTTCCCACCAGTTCCCTTGCACTGCTCAGGAATGAGGGCTGGGAAAGCTGTGGTCTCCTTGCATCTTTGTGTTCTTCATCCTCACATCCTTGGATGGATGAGGGAACCTCTGGAGGCTGCCTGATCCATCCTCCCTTGTACCCCTAACTTGCACACAGAAGGGCACTGAAGTCTTTGCAGACAAGCCCGCTCAGGTGCCCAGCCAGCCTGCCCTGGTAACTTGTCCACAGAATGTCTCCCCAAGCTGTTGTCTTGTTACTGGGGGACTGGGGACAGGAGTGATCACCCTCTTTTCTGTCTTACAGGAATTTGGTTTGACATTCTCTCCGGAATCGGCAAGTTCTCTGTGATCATCAACGTAAGTATACACCCTACTCGGGACACCGGGCTCTGTGGGCGGTGCTCCCGTCTGAGTTGAGCTCTTCAAAGCAGGAAACCACCCTCTGTCATCTCTAGCCTTTTCCATTTGCAGTGCTATTTAAGCTACCCCCTGGCTAAGGGGCGGGCCCGCCTTGTAGCTCATCATGAGGTCCCCAGAGCTGTGCGAGTTTTTACATTTCACTGAAAAGTAAGTGAAAGAAAGGTAATTATCTATCAGAATGCATTCCTAATAGTCAAAATCCAATCTTTCTTCAGAGCCAAGAATAATGAGAAAAGAATTCTACGTATCTGGCCATCTCCTTTCTTTCTCTGGAGTTAAATAATACCTGGAGTATTGCCCAGGCTGCAGTTCCTAATTACTGTCCTCCAGCTGTCAGTGTAAAGCCTTAATTATCCCCACGGAGTGCGGTGGTATAGGTTGGGACAAGAAGGATGACCGCCTCATCTTGTGTGACCTTAGTGGCCCTGTTGGATGTGGCCACCTTGCAGAGGAAATCTTGCCAGACGCTGGCCAGTAGCCCTTTGTTTTGCATTCTGGACCTCCTATCCTACATCCCAAGAAAATATCAATCAGTTTGGTTCACTTCAGGAGAGCCACAGCCTAGGTTCCTTTCAGAGGGAAGCATTAATTCTTGATCTGGCCTGGTTCCCTGCTAAGAAAATAGAACGGACTGGACAAGTCTGGGGAGAAACAGAGAAATTTAGTTCCTTGTGTTTGGAAGGTTCTAGCACTGGAAGCACACATCTTACACTTAGAAAGTAATGTTTGGAACACATGTTAGTAGTTACTCTCCTTCGTGTCCACTAGAAAAGAAGCCCTCTGTGTTAGCCACTCCAACTAGAACACAGAACCAAGGGGGGTATTACCTTACTGTCTTCTCTGAGCCTTGTTTACTCACCTGTAAAGTGGGACCCAGGAACAGTACTCAGCAAACTGAATTGTTCTGGAAACTAAAGGGGATGCAGGGGACATCAGCAAGTTCTCGTGGTTACTATACGTGTGCTCTTCATTCTCAAATATGGTCACGGCCAGCCACAGTCCCACCACATTCAGAAAACAGTATCTTTGTGACATTTTTAAGGGTCTTTAATTGTTGGTGCAGACTACAGTATAAACACCTGTCAAAAAGATTGACGATTTTCTTTGTAGAAAGCACCTCCACATTCAGATATGCAATCACTCACTGGCCACATTGTTTGCTCCGTGGACATTTATAGAGCACTTAGATGTGCCAGATGCTGTGTGAAGTCTGGCTGGCTCCAGATAGCAGTATTTCCTCCCTTCTCTGGATCTCACTTTTCCTAAGGGAAAATGGATAAAAGAACAACTTCTATTCCATGCCGTGCTAGAATGTGCTGAGAAAGGATGATCAAGTCGAGGGAACCATGAACTCCTACTCCTGGTCTTCTCGTGCCCATGGAGTGGATGGATGTTCATCATGGCTGTTTCAATTCCTTGCCTGTTGCTCTGTGTGACATTTTTGTCACAACAGGTGATTTCCCCCAGAACACTTTGCACTCTGACAACCACAGTGTCCATTCAGATAGCTCAGAGGTAGATTCGTCCTTCTAGTACACACTGGTCCAGGTTGACTTAGCCCCTACTGCTGTCCTCATTGCAGTCCCCTGTCTTGGCTGCCACCACACAGATCACAGATGGAAAGCCAGGAGACGTGTGCATGTGCTTCTGTGAGCCACAGCAGCCCCTCTTAACAGAAAGCCCAAGAGCGGAAGACCCTGGTCAGGTGCCGCCCGCCCCCTCTGGACAGTGTCCACTCTGACTGTGCCTCGTGCTTGTGATTCTGTCCCTTAGGCGTTCGTCATTGCCGTCACCTCCGACTTCATCCCCCGCCTGGTGTACCAGTACTCCTACAGTCACAACGGGACTCTGCATGGCTTTGTGAACCACACACTCTCCTTCTTCAATGTCAGCCAGCTGAAGGAGGGGACGCAGCCAGAGAACTCACAGTTCGACCAGGAGGTTCACTTCTGCAGGTACAGTGACCTGGAGGAGGAGGGCTGTGGAGGACCGGAGCAGCAGAGTGAAATAGTTATCCAGATGACCTGGAGTTACATCATTCTCCTGTCCCTCCTTCTCCTGCTCCTCTCCAGCAGTTGTTAGAAATTGACTGGGAAGCATCAGCAGATATTCATCAGCGCCTTGTGGTAGATGCTTTGGAACAGGCTGGGAACTATGTAGCTTTGCCCTCATTGAAAGGGATGGAAAGGGCCAGGTGGCAGAAAGCATGTGGACAGGAGCACGGTGGATGTGCAGAGGAGGCTATAATCACAGGGACACTTTCTGGGGGGGGGGCTGTGGGAAGTCAGAGGACAGGAAGGGAGACTATTCCACAAGGGGCCAAGGCATGGTGGTGGGGAGGAATTTGGGGTGTTAGATAAGCATTTTGGGGCCAGGCCATGTGGTTAACACAGAGGATGCTTGGAAGATAATAATGGTGAAGGATGTAGGAGATACAATATATACTGAAAATCCTAGAATAGCCTAAGCCTAGATGTTGCTGACTTTGGTATGATGGAGTACACAAAGGGGAGGCTTCAGAATCTGATGGGAATTTTAATGTGATGCAATAGCAAGATACTGGCCCTTTTAATGTCATGGATTGGGAGGATAAAAGGCGGTTTAGGAAAATTGATGCGACCGCAGAGAGGAAGGTGGACAGCAGCAGTGGAACCGTGGTATAAGACACAGACAATTCTGGGCAGAGACCATGGTGACAGGAAAAATTAAGAGAAAGGGAGGACATGAGCTAATTAATACAATGTACTGCAAATCTGGAGACAGGAGACACAGGAGTGAGGCTGAAAAAAGGAACATTTCAGAGTCTGGCAACTAGGAAATTGTAGTTTCATCGAAAGGGATGGGGGAGATGCTAAGAGAACCGAATCCTATGGTGCATATGATGTCTGATGAATCTGACTTCAGTTGCGTTCATGACAGTGGAGAAGCTAAGGGACAATCTAACTCCTAGACATGCTAAACTGGAAATCTGGAGAGAGGTAGGGGGTGTGATCACACAAGGGCCTCTGAAACCAAGAAACAGAAAACCCCTTACTGTTATCCCAGAAGGGCAAATAAAGACAGGAGTACAGGGGCTTATTTTATCCTTTTGTGGCTGGTTGAGTGATGTGCCTAAAAAGACCTTGGTCAGAGGTCTTCACAACAATGACAAATGCACAGGAAAGATATTGTGGCACCAGAATAAAGCCTTCTCAGACCACCTCAGCAGCATCTTATGTAGAATCTGCCAATGCCCCATCAGAGAGGTGCTGGTTTTCCTTGTGTTTATGGCAGCAATGATTTCGTATGTCTGTCTGTCCTGCTTCTCTGCCTGGGACAGCTTGGCACACAGGGTCAGCCACAGTGAGACAGTGGCTAGGTTCAGATTCAGTAATCTGAGACTGTGGGAGAGAGAAAATGGTGTTGCCTTCCCAGCTCCGATGTCACCAGTCCACGATGCACCGGTCTGTGATGAAGCTAAAAGAGTGTCCTGGTCTTAGGGTAACATCAGAGTTTGACTCGAGACAACCAGTAGAAGATGAAAGAGCAGAGACCAGACCAAGAATCGATGAATAAATTTACCCATCAGTTTGTGTAAGCCTAGATGTCTCAGGTTTTTAACATCTGGCCCGATCATAGGCAGGTTTTCCACTGGACTGTGTACTGCTGGGGACCCCTCCTATCTGGCTGGCTGTGCTGCTGGAGTTCGGTCTGTGGATCCACAGCACAGAGGGGCTCCTCCAGTAGGGGCTGTGAGGCTACTCACCACTTTCAGTAAACAGTAGGCATTGAAAAGTGAGAGTTATAAAAATCATTTTTCCTTTTCCTTTTTTATTGGTGGGTTTTATTTTAGCCATTCATACATGTACATAACATCGTTTGAACATTTTCACCACCTCCTCTGTCACCCCTCACCCATCCCAGTTTCCTATTGGGGGTTTCAATGTGTGTGATTATTTTGCTCATATCCCTTTCCCCTAGTACCTGCTCTTACTCCTTCTCCCTCCTCTTACTTGCTAACAGAACATATCTATAAGCAGAAATGATCACAGAAATCATCAGGTCGCAACTCCCCATTCTACAAAAAAAGAAACAAATAAACCGAGGCTCTCCATGTTGAGGGGTTCTGTAAGATTATGGAAGCTCCTGGTGAGAGTTCCTCACTACAATTCATATCACTCCAAGAGCACGGCCTCCACTCCCGAGAGAGGCAGACACAGGGCCAGCACGATTTGTGCAGGCCAGCGAGGCTGGTGCTAGTGGTGTCTCTAGTTGCTCTAGCAGTGCATGTCTGTCATAGCACCAGGGTCTGACCTTGCTCCTGGCTGTCAGATCTCCCCATGGCACCTCTGAGTGGCTTACCAGATTAGTGGGTCAGACTAGCTTGGACAGAAAGGAATTTTGATGGCCCCAAATTCGAAGTGGAGTGTAGGTCTAATTTTAGACAAGGCTTCATCCAATCAACTTGGTCCACCCAAGTGCAGCCTTTCTCTGTTACCCAGCTGCAGCTCATCCCACGCTGACTGCATTGTCAACTTATGATGTCTTGTCAGTTGTGGTGAGAGTCCACGGCACATAGGTAGTACTCGGCTAAAACAAATGTCCTAGGACCACAGGGCATCTTGATGAACACGGGTCCAATCCAGCTTTCCTGTGTCTCCCACTGCACTTCCAGGTAGCAGTGAAGCCCCAGAAGTCTTCTCTCTGTCGTTCATACAAGTAGGTGGGATCATGGGTACATACATAGGAAATACACTTTAACTCTAGGCTTCTGCCAAGAACATTTATCAGCAGAATGTGAATCATCCTAAGATCAAACTAAAACCACTCTTGGAGCATTCATCCCTTCCCTGACTCTCAGTGCTGGTGAGGATTCCAGGTTCATATGCAAATGCCCTGAGACCCCACTACAGGTTCGCCATTGGCTGTATCATAAAGAACAAGAGGTAGTACAGTGCCCTCCCCCAGAAATCTAGAGGATGGAGATGAGTAGGTGAGCGAGCAATTAAAATACGGCTTTAATAGTTGGCAGTTGGGTATGGGCAGGGAGCTATGAGAGCTCTGAGGATGGGGAGGAGGCTCTGTACCAACCCCAGGTGGGAGGTGGCTTCCAGGGCCAGAACCTTGAAGAATGAGGAGGCCCTGGGGGTCCTCCTGTGGAACACCCCCCCCCGCAACTGTGTGGCTGAGCCCCATGGGTGACTGGCTGCTGAGCCCTTGGGGGTGGGGATGGTGGGAGGGGAGAGGGAGGAGGGGCAGAGGCTATAACAGAAAGGCTGTGAGAAGCAGCGACGACCCCACAGCTAGCCCCAGAGCCAGTGTTTTTTATAATTGCTTCCGTGGTGGAAAATGAAGTTTGTCCTGATTTTCTGGGAACTCGATGACCCTTCTTATTCTTAGCTTTCGGTGACCTCTGGAGATAAATGTAGCCAACTAAGACTGAGGTCTTGTGCTGTAACCCTAGCCTTGCCAGGGAGAGAGAGAGGTGTCTTAAAAATAGAAATAAAAGTTAGGACAAGTCTCTGGCTGCCCATTTGAGATTTTGAGATGCATTTTCAGCATTTTTAGAGTAACGCTGGCCTCAGCTATCAGAGTGCTGCCGCAGAACTGCCCCATCGTAAACAGTCCTGAAGTGTCAAGCTGCTGGCACGACTAGTGACCATTTGGGAGGGTCAAAGGCCACCACTTCCTGGAGGACAGACAGTGGCCAGCCTCTCGGCTCACCAGGAAGTGACCAGAGAGCTCACTGTGCCAGGGCCTGGGTGGTGATGTGGTCTCACAGCTCTACTCACTCCAGGAGCCTAATGGGGGGCCCCCATCTGGAGGAGTGGAGCCCCCAGAAACAGCATCCTCAGTTGGCTCTTGCTGAGCTCTCCCCAGGGACTCCCCTGCCCCAAGGTGCTGAGAAATAGCTTTGAAGAGGCCGCTTCCCTCCCAGCCCATGGCTGCCTCCCACCTGTTCCAGCACCAGAGAGGGCGTCAGCTTTTCCAGGTGCTGGCATTCCTGGTCTTTACCAGCCACTGGACTGACAGGTTCTCATTAGTTCCTAATTGCTTGAACTGTTTCCCTTTGCTAAAGGCCAATTTCAGACGGCAGTTTGAAGTCATTCAGATGGCCTAAAATATCGTATGTTGTTGTACTTAGCATGAATATGACATTCATTTCCCTTGGGGCTACTGCAAAGCTTTCCTACACACCTCTGTTTGCAGCTCAGAGGCATGGAATAACTGACTCCTTGTATAACTTAACACCTCCTCCAAAAGGAAAACCCGTGCTGACGGACGGTGACCAGCTCCACCTCTCTGCTTTGGCGCCCCCCTCCCTGTTTGATTTTGCATTAATGAATCCTGGCGGCTGCCACTGTCTTTTGTCACCTGCAGCGAGGCTCTGGTGAGGAATGAGGGCATCTGAGGTGTGAGTGCCTCTCTCCTCTCTGTGCCTCTGTTTCCTCATCTGTGAAAATAAGGACTTTGGAATAACAAAGCTCCAGAGATTCTTTTCTGCTTAAAAAAATCTTAAGAACCCATGTAATATATTAATCTCTACCTGTGAAAATTCTGAGCATTACAGGCAGCCACTCCAGCTCTGTGCGTCTGCACCCTAGCCCTGCCCATCCCTAGAATCTTCCCGATTGTAACTGGGGTGGTGAATGTGTGGGAAGGTTTCCCCAGCATCTTCATGCACTAACATAATACAAACTTGTAGAATCTTTAAAGTAATTTTTCTCAGGCCTGTTCTGTAATGATAAATGTAGTTTGAATTAACAGAAACCTTATTTGTTTAGGTAATGTCTAAATTCAACTTAGGTGATAATGATTTTTCATAGTTAGAAGATATTTCTATAATTTTAAACCCAAATTCCAATGTCAGCTTTTGTAGCAGTTTTGCTTATTATATGGGAGTCTGTCCTAGGTGAGACTGTAGTTTTGCTCCTAGAAACTCAGTACAGAAATGTATTCTGGTCAACTGAATATTGTTGCTATTCTTTTAAAATTATGACCATCTTTATTATGAAAGTATTCTGTGATACATGTTCATAAATGATAAAGAAAGGCTCTCTTCTCAGTCCATACCCCAGTCATCATCTCCCAGGAGAAATCACTGTATCCATTTTCCATGGGAGACTTCAGAAATCCCACTCACAAAGATTGCCTTACTAGTCCGTGTCTTTCTCTAACATTCCATGTGCCTACCACACATAAACAGATTCCTTTGTATTCCTTCATTCATGGGGGTGAGAGGGTCTGTGCATGCATTAAGTTCTCCATGTGTTTTCTTTGTCATTCGACACACACACACACACACACACACACACACACACACGTACATGTATTCCTTTGCTCGTGAGGGTGAGGGCCCAGGTGTGCACCTTGTATGTCGTCAGCACTGTGCCGTGCATTGCGTTGGTCCCATGGTATAGACTAGAAAGCTGAGGATCGTAGATGTGGAGCAACTTCCTCAGGGTCTGTCCGTTAATAAGACAGCCACTCTAGGCTCACACTTGGGTTTCAGACCCTCTACTTGTCTCCTAATTGAAAATCTCTCTTAGAAGACTCAGAGAACTCTCAAAATTGTTAAAGAGCAAAGAAAATAACAGACTGGAAGGGTGCAGGTAAAGTCTAGGAATATCCCCCAAATTATACCCCGATGGTCAATCTCATTCTCTTTGGGTCACAGCCATAGGTACAGGAAACTGACTTGATGAGGGGAGTTCACTGGGTGCTGTAGCCCCTCCTGGAGTCCTGGGCTCCCCCAGCCAGGGGAGTGGGTCAGATGTTGTAGGGCCTTTGAGTTGCTGCTGGGAATGGACCCCCCGAGAAGCCTCAGGGCCTCCTCCCATCCATGTGAGCAGAGCCTACTTTGTGCCGTTGACCGGGTGTGGCTCTGAGAACTCCGGCAGCTGTGTGGGTCCTCATCTGGGATGTGAGTGCTCAGAAACCCCGAGGAGGCAGCGGGAGCTGGGGGTGACAGTCTGTATGCCCCATCCTCCTTTGACAAAAGTGTGCCTCGTAAGCTATCTTCAGTAAAAAGAGAAAAAATAGCAGCTCTGGGTTAGCATTCCTTCTCTAAAAATCCAATCCGGAAATGCTCTGAACTCTGAGACTATGTCAGTGCTGACCTTATGTGAGAGGTAGAAAATTCTGCACCATGAAACCTTTTTCACACATAAAATTATTAAAAATGTATAAAAGGAACTTCAGGCTATGTGTTTAAAATGAGTAAGATGTGTAAAAATAAATGTTGTATTTAAACTTGAGTTTCACCCCCAAGATATCTCATTATGTATAAAAAATATTCCATTTATGTCTATAAAAATGGAAAAAAATCTGAAATCTGAAAAAAACCTTGGTCCTGGGAGTGTCAGAAATGGGACATTCAGCCTGTGTTGACTGAGTTCTGATATGCCAGGGAGTATTCCAAATTCTGTACACTGGTATTTTTCTTCATAACTACTCTGTTAGGAAGTTTGGACCCATTTTATAGATGAGAACATGGGGTATGATGAATGTGAGGTATAAGAGGACTGTGTTACTTAGTTTTCTATCACTACTCCAGACACCTGAGATAATCAACTTGCGTAGAGTGAAGGTGGATTTGAGCTTGCAGTTTGGAGATTCGCCTCCATGGCTCACGGGCCTCCTGGCTCCTGGCCTTTGGTGAAGCAGTGCATGGGGTGGGAGGGTGTGACACAGCAGGGCCGCTTGCTCTGCAGCCACGGAGCAGAGAAGAGGGGGACCGGGGCCCCACAGCCTCCTTCAGGGACGTGTCTCTGAGGACCCAAACATCCCGCTGGGCATTGCCTCCTCACGGCATCATGCTGGGGACCAGGCCTCTACTACTTGGGTGACACACAGGAGGACACCTGTGTGAAGAACGCACAGCCAGAGCGGGGACAGCAGCACTCACACTCTGCTCTTCTGACTCAGCGGCACTGTGAACATTTCTCAACGCTCGGGCTCGGGGCCGGGCATAGAAATAAAAACAAACAACACAGACCGTTATCGAAGCGGGGAAACAATTAAGTTCATTAGCCACCTGTCTTCTATGAATGTTTCAGTTCTTAACGCTAATTATCTCTGTTTAATTAGTGTTTTCTAGTTACTTAGTGAAAACATTTGATTAGCCTATTCTTCGGGTGAAATTTTTGAAAATGATGAAATATGAATTTAGGTTGGCATGTAAACAACCAGTTATTCACTTGGCTGGTGGGTGATAACTGGAATTGGTGTTTTTCAGTGATGAATCATGGTTCATTAGTGGATTGATTAGGAAATCACTTTCATGAATTGCAAACAACATTTCATGGGTACTAGCATAGTATAGGCTGGTCTAAAGTTGAGTACAGCAAGGATAAGTGTTTTGTGTAATTTTTATTTTAGTAATATATGTGTACACCATCAATACAAAATATATTTCTTAATGTAGGTCATAGTTTTTTAAAAGCTAGATTTAGGAAGAAAAATGTGAACAGATGCAACATTCATTAAGTGGCTCACTATTCTTTTCTGCAGTATGGTTTCCCCTTTAGTATCTAGCAGAGCCATCCCTGGCTTATCTGCTTCAAGGTATTTTCAGGGAGAACTTTCTGGACAGATCTTTGCGTTACTCTTTCCCCAGAGCATCGATTAGATGGATGTGCCTGTTAGATTCAAAACATGTTTTGGACACTTAGACAGGGCAAAGTGACATTTCCAAAAGCTGTGGTAAGTTAGCAGCAGAGGTGGAACCAGCATCAGATTATTTATGGATTCTTTTCAGACTGGAAAAAAGCGGAGTGAGCAATGGCTGTTATACTGAGGTCAGTGAGCAGCTGTTCCTTCGTAGACGGAGTTAGAGAAGGGGAGAAATGGACTTTCATTGCAGCCAGAGGGATTGGGCTGAACTCGGGGAGGGATGTCCCCGTGGCCAGGGGTGTGGGTGTATGTATGTGTGTGTGTGAGTGTGTGTGCATGTGCGGGTGTGCACACGACCTCTGGAGGTTTCCAGAGCAGAGAGCTCAGCTGTCCCTGGCCATTGCCCCCTCTCTGGAGACAGCAGGAGGGCAGTGAGCCGTGCCTTTTCCCACCAGGACACCCCTACTCATTTGGCCACCCTGTCCCCACCCCCGGCAGGGATCTTCTAGACCTGGCGGTGTTTCTGTCCCAGCCACGGATGGATGTGATTAATCTCACGGTGCTCTGTTGGGCTGCAGTCAGCTTCGCTTTTCACCCGGATGTCAAACCAAGCCCACAGCAGCTGTGATCAGCTGTTGGAAGGGGAGTTGGGTCCGGAGTGGGAGGCCCTTGGCTTCTTGCCGAGTGCTCACTGAGGGCTGAGCGGCCGCCATTCAGTTTGACTCCTCTTGCTGAGCCTCCTGCCATGCCATTTTCTCTCACCACGACTCTCTCGTTTGTCCTCCTCTTCTCTCATCTCTCCTTGGACAGTTGGGAGTCACCATGTTTTCGTACAGGTGTTTTAGGGCAACAGCTGTACTCAGTGCAGAGAAGGGGCCCAAAAAGCTTGCACACTGCTGCTGGCAGGCACTGCGTGCATTCAGCTGGAGTCACCTCCCTTTGCCTGGTCTAACTGGCCACGAGACCTGGACCAAGAAGCCACATGTCTCCGACCCTGAAGTTCCTGCTGTCATGTGGGGGTAACAGTGCCTGCCTGAGTGTGTGTTGTGAAAAATAAAAGGAGAGATGTCCAAAAAAGCACTTTGCTTGGGATCAACATGGAGTCCATGTTTGGAGTGTGGTGGTTTCCCTCACTGGTCTTCCGTGGAGAGTGCGCTTGCCTGCCTCCCTCAGCCCCCGCCCTCCTACTGATGGCCTGATGTCACTGGGGCTCATTTTGCTTTTACTGAGTATCAAATATTTGTTGAATTCCATAGAGGAGATAATTCTATGAAGGGGCAAAGCTCAGATACCAGCCCTTGTCATTCTTCCAGGTTTAGAAAAACATGAGTCTGAGAAATCGAGCTAGTTTTAAAATGAGTCATTCCAGAAGAGGGGTAGAATGGCCAGTGTGAGGGAAAACCCGAGGCTTCTCAGTGGGTCTGGAGAAAGAGGCACAGGCTCTGTTAGGCGCTGACATTTTGCTTTTTAGATCATGTGGTCAGGCCTAATAAAGCAGAGAGCTGCTCCCGCCCAGGCTAGCCGGCCTGGGCTGCATCAGTCTTCTTCAGGTTCAGCACTGCAGTCGGGGAACCAGGCCAGGCCCCAGATGACTGGAATCCCAAAGCAGCTGGCTCTGGGGAAGCCGGGGTGACTTGTGTTGCCTGCAGGTTCACGTGGCCCTCAGGCTGCTACAGGGCAGGATAGGGTGGTGAGGGTCTCCCTGCCCTTTGAGAGTCTGCAGACTAATGTGACCCAGGGTGATCCCACTGCACTGGGTTACTTTCAGGGCCTCTGGATTCCTGACACCTGAGAAAGTTGTGGAGATGTTAAGAGAGACAAGGAAAAGGCACTTCCAGACTGACTTTAGGGTTTTTGGATTTTGATCCTTTTACTCTGTGGGGTTTTGCTGGTTGGGCCATAGATTTCCCCTTCTTTCCTCTACTTCCAGAGTCTGAAAGCCAAGTGCTTGCGGGCTGTTTGAACCCTTGGGTTTTGACCCCAGAGAAGTCCCACTAATTCCTCTGTCTCCTCCTGGTCTTAACATCACGCTTCTCATTGGGCAGGTTCAAGGATTACCGAGAGCCGCCCTGGGCACCGAACCCATATGAGTTTTCCAAACAGTACTGGTCCGTTCTGTCTGCCCGACTGGCTTTCGTCATAATCTTCCAGGTGAGTTGTGCAGACAGGAGTGGCCAGCTTGGGTCTGGGCCACTCTGGTTTTTATGCACATTATTACAGTATCCACGGAGAACTAGTTTCAAGCCCCTCAGACACTAAAACCCAGGGTTGTTCAAATCTCTCATGTAAAACGGTGTAGTATTTGCACATAGTCTGTTCACATCCCCTCCTGAGTGCTTTAAAATATTTCTAGATTACTGGTAATACCCAATCCAGCATAAATTCTGTGTAATAAGTGTTGTAGTGTGTTATTTAGGGAACAACAAGAAAGAAGCCTGCACATGTTCAGCACAGCTGTAATTTGGCTTTCTGGTACATGTGATCCATGACTTGTGGAGTCTGAGGATGCGGAACTTGTGGATGTGGGGTCAGCTTACTCTGGCACAGGCGCCTGTCCTTCCCCAGTGAAGCAGGACTCCCGAGGGGGCTTCTGTTAGTGGATGGACTTTGCTGAAAGAGAATAAAGCACAGGGTAAGGTTACTGGACAGATGTGGAGCATGCTGCAGGCTGGGGACACTTTGCATTCTACTCCGAGATGAAGAAAGGAGAACGGAAGTGGGCTGAAACCAGAGTCTCAGCTGCCGTAGGACAAACAGCCCAGCTCGGGTTCTGCACCGCTTTTCTTGCGCTCTCAGGACCCTCCTTTGTCAGTGTTGGTGGTGGCTGTTGGGAAGGGCCCAGAGCCCTCTGGGAATGAATGGCAACCTGAGCCCGATCCCTGTCTGTGACAAGAGCAGCTCCAGTTGCGCCCCTGAGATTCTCCCGGGTCCAGGCCCCCAGTTCCCACTCGGGGTCCTGACGCCCTTTGAGCAGACCAGAGCACAAGCCCGGGCCCTTTTCTCTTCACGTCCCTCAGGCTTTTGTATTCCTCGAAGGCAGGTCTCTGGGGAGCTCTAAAGTATCCTGCCCGACCCCAGCCCAGGAAGAAGAGAAGCCCATGGGCTCGTCTTTCCCCCAAAGAAGGCGGCCGTTCTCCCCTGCAGAGATGGGGTGATATGCTTGAAAAGGTGCTCAGACCCCCTGGGCCCTGCCTGCAAGCTCCTCTCTCTCCCACATGTCACATGTCACGGGCACTCGCTGCGGGAGGTGGAGGAAGGCCTGGGCCTGGGCCCAGCGAAGCAGCTCTCCAGCTCCTGCGGTGCTGGGGCACCTCTGGAAGCAGTAACGGGTCCCCAAAGTCTTTCCCAGCCCTCCCTAGGCGCCCGTGAGGTTCGGGGACTTGGACACAGCCTGGTGTCTCAGAGAGCAGCAGACACACAAGTGTGTGACCAGAGCCTGAGAACGACTGGAGGAGAATGCGGAGTAGATGATGGTGAAAGGAAAGGGAGTACGTTTTGGGCCATGCCTGCCCCTGTGGCATTCAAGCAAATGGAAACTGTTCTGGGAGAAAGATATCCTTGCCCTCCTGTGTATGTGCAGGGAGCGGGCAGCAAACCTCAGAGGTGCCCGCTGCGAGCTAACGCCAGGGTGCCCGATGCTCAGTGCCGCAGCATGGCTGCGGTGAACAGAGGCAGAACAGTAGAAAGGGAGTAGGAGGCATGTTCGGCGGAGGCCAGGGGTCAGCATAAATGCCAGCGTGCTGTCTCTGTTGTAGAAGAGAGAAGTGGCTGGAGAGAGGAAACAGTAACTCCATAGCTGCAGCTGCAGAGGCTGCCTGCCAGGACCTGTGGAGTTGCAGTGCATGAGGCTTCGGGCCAGGGAGCAGGAGGGGGCACCTGAGGACCGTCTGAGGCAGGAGGGGAGGGCAGCACTACAGGCCACACTGGAGGGAAGCAAGGACAGTGTCTGGGGCAGTCTCACAAGTGCCGGGCACCCTTGAAGACGTCTGACCTTACAGCAGTGCTAGGCCGGCGGGAGGGTCACCCGTTCCGCCAGGGGCGCCCTTCATCCAGGGACACCGAGTGGTGGGGCAGGGATGAGCATGGACTTCTTCAGGGTGACTGGCCTCACTGCCCCTAACGGGCCGGAGTGGACAATGGCCTGCTAATGGCCACCAAGTCTCAAAGGGCCTTGGCCCCAGGTCAGGCCCCGCCCAGCCCCTCTCCTTTGCTTTCCACAGAACCTGGTGATGTTCCTGAGCGTCCTTGTGGACTGGATGATCCCAGACATCCCCACGGACATCAGCGACCAGATCAAGAAAGAGAAGAGTTTGTTGGTGGACTTCTTCCTGAAAGAGGAGCATGAGAAGCTCCGGCTCACTGATGAGCCGGCCCCGAGGAGCCAGGGAGCCCAGGACGGCAGCAGGAGGAGCCGCGCAGCCAGCTCAGCTCCCTCGGGCCTGAGCCTACCTGGCAGCAGGGCTTCTTCTGGCTCCCAGCACACCAACGTCTGAGCAGCCCCAGCCCGGCCACAGGGGGCGCTGCAGTGGCTGGCACAGGGCCCTGGCTGCAAATCCCCACCCAGCGGTGGCAGACCTGTGGCACACAGCCACCTGTTCCGTATCACAAAAGCTCTGAAAGGTTTGTTCACTGCAAGCCGAGCTCACTCCTCCCTCCGCCGGGGTCCAGCTTGGGAGTGGCTCAGAAGCGAAGTGTCTGAAAATAGAGAAAGGGACATTAAGAGCGAGTGAGTGCTAGGAGGAGGAGCCTTGAGTCGCTTCTCTGAAACCTCAAGCTTAAGATTCTCTTAGTCCCTTCCTGAGCTGTGACCTTCTGCGGGATTGGCACCTTCTTGGGTCTCTGTCCCAGTCCCAGAGTCCCCAGGCACCAGGCGCTTTCTCCCCATGTTCTCCCTCTTCGCTGTGGATCCAGGTGACCACAGGCTGTGTGAGAAGTACAGGCAGTCCCCGTCCCAGCCCCACTGTAAGTGACTCCACGTCCTCCCTATCACCCCAGACACCCCTCTGAGCCACTGGAAGCTGGGCACTCATGGGCCTTGGTGGATACAAAGTCCTGAGTGTGCAGACACTGGACACGGTGGTGAGGACCAGGTCCAGCCTGGGCTGGTCTCCAGCTCATGTCACGGGGGCCCCTGGGGCTGGTGCAACCAACTGTCGTTTTATGCAGATTTAAAATAAATGGGCACATCCTTTTTAAAGGTGCATTGTTGTCTTTGGTGCCTTGTTTCACCCTCCCCCTTTCGTCCCTCTCCTCTCCCACACTTGCTTCTCTTTCTTCCTCTTTCTCCCTCCCTCCCTTTCTCCCTTCACTCCTTCCTGGGAATATTTATTGAGCTCCTGCTAGGCACCAGGCATTGTTCTCCAAGGAGAGGTACAGCAGAGAGACAGAAATAGAGTCCGTGCCTCGGTTGGAGCATGCATTCTGGAGAGGAAGAGACCAGAAGCCAATGATTGTGTGGCTATTTTAGATGGCGGTAGGAGCAATAGGGAGATTCCGAGTTAGGACAAAGTAGATAGGAAGTGTGCAGGATGCAAGGGTAGCGGGGCTCCCAGCTGGTGAAGAGGTTTTGTCTCACAGTGCTAAATGATGTAGGAAACTGTAGCAGCTCCTGGACTCTGTAGAGAAGATGTTCGTGAGTAGCTGGAAGTAAAAAGGCAAACAGTTGTTTATCCACGTGCCTCACCTCTCCTGCTGTCCAGGAACTAGCTCCATGGTAACTCCTTCCAGACATCCCCAGTCCCTGGCAGCCAGTCTGACTGGAGCCCAGTGGAGCCCGGATGGTGGGCCAGGCTCCCAGAGAAGTGAGGCCGTCCTGATGACTCCACGTACCTGGTGGCGGAAGACCTCTGGGTGGCTGGTCCCCAGTGCCGGCCACCATCCGGTCTTGTTTCCTCCTGGCGCCTGCAGGATGGTGCTGACCCCAGCCCTTGCTCTGGAAAGTGGCCCCTGCTTTGGGGATGACAGGGCATAGATGCAGCTCAGAACAGTCATCCAAGCAGCTCCAGCTGCAGTCATGGCCACATGGCATTTTACTGCTCATGCATGCCGCCGGGACTGGATTCAAGTGCAGGGGCTTTGAAACGTTTCACCCATTTGGAGAGTGAGTGGATGACAGAAGGAAATTTCTACTCCCCTGAGTGTTTGTGCCATACTCAGAGGTGCCCTGGGACTCCTGCCAGTGCGGCCAGAGTCGGTCTTTCCAGGAAGCGGTGCTGGCCCACGTCAAGCATTGCCTCCATCACCAAATGCCCAGCCGGCACACGCTGAGCCCCTCGTACCCATGGCTGCCCATGCCTCTCAGGGCCTCGCTTCTTTCTGATCACGTTTTTATATGATGGTAGAGTCAAAATTTGAAGCCAAGAAGAGCACCCATAATCCCAAATCTGATATCAATGTTGGAAACTGTTGTGCCCCTCAGAATATCTTTCCCTCTTGCAAACATTTATTGTTTTAAGGGCAGTTAGGCTATACGGACTATCTGGTTACCTTTTTTTTTTTTTTACTTCATCAGCCCTTATATCCCAATAAATACAGACCCATTCCTTCCAGTGTATCCTGAGCACCTATGTGGCAGGCCCATGAGTTTTATCGCCTAACAAAATAGACATTCTTTCTGTCCTGGTGCTCATGTTCTGTGTGCCAGGGAGACAGATAAAGAGTGAAAGTAAGCAAAAGAGAGTAAGTGCTAGGCTGAGGTAAGGGGGATTATGGGTGGAGACCAGGGCCACGTGTTACTCCCATCATAGAGGTGAGAATTTTGCTTCCCTTTTTTCTCACCTCATCCCATTCTGCTCACCAGATGGGAATAGGAGCTTGTGGTAGCCAAAGCACAAATCCTTGGGACCAGGTCAGTGGGAGCTACCTGGGGTCTGTATGGTATAAGAAGGGAGATTTAATCTGACCATGGACAGATTTCCACTCTAGAAGACTCAACTTTCTTCCCCTCTCCCCTGAAGAGCACGGGAAGAACCCTATGAATGCCCCAGTCCCTGGGCAGGGGTCTCAGGGCCATGCCCGTGTGTTGCCAGCAAGACTTCTAGAAGTGCTGGCTTCCTGGCAGGAGTAGGGTGCAGGCTAAGAGAGAACCCTGTAAATCATCTGTTAATGCAGGTGGAGAGATGGGAGGTACAGTCTTCCAAACAAATAAAACTTGCCTGAGCTCTTTAAGGAAATAATAAAAACTTCCTGTTCTGTTTTAACATGTGAGAATATTGTGGACAAAAGGAAACACTGAAATAAGCCAAAGAAATCACTCATTACCCTGTTCCCTTTCTCTAGAAACAACAATAGTTACCCTCTTGCTTAAGTTTATGTTCTCATCCTGTACATGCTATCACATACGTGGGTGTGACATAGCAGATATTTTGTTTAATTTTAAAAGTGGTACATTCTTACTGATGATTTAGAAAATGCAAAAAAAGTAAAATGTCAATAAAAACTTTAAATCACCCAAAGTTTCAACCATGACAA